CGAAGCAAAACAACATAGGATATAACTTTGTAAAGTTATTATACTATTTCCACGCTGACCTGGCCCATGAGCCATGCCCCTTTTCTATGAAAATACTGTAGCTGATTGGTTCATAGAAAATGTCCATATAGCTGTCCATTTATTCCAACTAAATGTACTCACATTTGGTAAGCAGACCTGTTATTATCTAAAATAATGTTAAATATCTGGGCTATCAAAATGCAAATATTTATAATACAAGGTTGAAGTGCTAATGCCTTGAAATCATTTGCATTTTGATAGTCTAATCCCTTGACCTTGACCTCACAAATCTTGGTTGATTGTTAGAAGTTGATATTAGGACATATTATCCATATGCCACAAAGCACAACTTATCATTGCTGACTGCTTATAATTTCATAGCTTTTTTTTTTATTAGATTTGTTTTGTATCCAGCAAGCAATATCCAAATATGTGTGTAGGTTACAGGTGAGTTAATAAGCCCTTTGTTTATTGCATCTTATAAAGCTTGATGGATTTCATCATCCTCTTGTTTATATATTCTCAGATCCTTTGTCATGAAGCAGAACTCACTGTCAAATTTATCACTTGCCATGTAAGAAACAGGCAAGCCTTAAATCCCTTTACCTTATGACTTTAATAAAATTAAGTTATGTTTTTTAAGTCTGGAGTGTGCAGAAAGCTTTGTTATTCTCTATAAGTCATTCATGTAATTGTTTGTTTTGTATCATTAGTATTTCTGTATTGGGAACTTGAAAGGATGATAGTTATTGAATGTTAATGGGGAAAAAAAAATTATATATATATACAGTAGAAGTCCAAAAATCCGGACTGCTTGGGGATTGGGTCGGTCCGGATTTTCGGATTTTCCGGATTCTCAGGCAGTACTTTTAAAATTCAAATTTAAGGAGGAATAAAAAAGAGATGAACAGATACATTTTGATAGTTTATTCATTAGCAAATATAGCATGCTTCATTTATCAAAACGAGCAGTTTTAAAGAAAAAGCTGTGAATTCTAGAATTTTATTCTTTGCCTTTTTTATATCATAAATTGTAGACTTTCCAATGTTGTATGTTTCCATTAGAACAGTATTGCTCACACCATGTTCTATTTTAATTATTTAAAGTTTGTCACTCAATTTCAAAGTGTTCTTCTTTCTCTTCACACAACGAAGTTTATCTACTTTAGGAGCCATTATTATGGGCTCTGTAAATGGAAAGAGTAGGACTCAAAATTACATACGTTGTCACAGTTTGATTGCTCGTTTTAAAGTGGCGACCACGTTGTCGCTGTGCAGCTGTGGCGCTCACGCATGCGCACATACACACAAAAGCCAGCTAAAAAAAAAAAAAAAGTTTGAGTTTTCGAAAAGTCCGGATTCTCGGGTGGTCCGCTGGACCACCAGGATACTGACTACCCGTATCACGTAGGTGGTCAGAGTAACGTTTTACCAAATCCGGTCACAGTCATGGGCCAGTGGGTTCGAATCCTGGCGGGTCGAGGTGTTGATTGTATGTCGAAGTCCGCGTGCTATTGGGCTAATGAAATATATATATATATATATATATATATATATATATATATATATATATATATATATATATATATATATATATATATATATATATATATATATATATATATATATATATATATATATATATATATATATATATATATATATATATATATATATATATATATATATATATATATATATATATACATGCCTCTTACACCACATAATAAGTAATATTGTAGTGTAAAGTATTATGCATCTGCATATACCCTGGTTTATTCATTAATCATTTGTCTAAGTGTACAAGTAGCCAAATTGAGCCATTATAGAACACTCAAAGGTTGTAAATAACGTTTATAAGAAGATATCTTCATATCAAATACTATACAGTGTGTTACAGTGACCCTGTAGTAAACAGATTTGCTGAAAGCTTTCACACGAACGCATCTTAAGTGAATATCTTCCAGTACAGCCTATCTTTTTTTATTTTCAAGTCAAATTGCAAATTGTATTTTGTATTTTTTCTCAATTATTGAAGATAACCATGATGAACCATACACCATAAGGGATCATAAGAAAATAGAATAAACCTGGTGAAAGCAGCAACACCCAATCGACCCCCAGCCTGCTTACATACTCAGTGTCTTAGCTCTTGTTAAGCCTACAGCAAATTTGATTAGACCATTGTAGAGTATTCAGTGAGCAAGTGTTCTTCTTTTCATTTTTTTTTTTTACCAATTAAAATATGTACTGTAGTACAGTACAGGTTATTACCTCTCTAGTCCGGCATTCTGTGGTCTGGAAACTCCCGTGGTCCGGAACGATTTTAGTTTGTCCAATAGGTAGATAGGCAGCTTTTTTTTTTTTTTTTTTTTTTCTTTTTTTTAATCTGAATTATTATTATTATTACAGGAGTATTAAATTTTTGCCCTCAGGCTAATGTGGGTCAGTGACCTATGCCTGGGTGGGCTAATCGTAAAAAGCAACAACAAAGCCGGGAAATTAAGGTTTGTTTACATCCGGCAGTTCGGCTGCTCTCTCTCTGCTTGTCTATACAGAGTACAACATTTAACCCTTCAATATATATGAGCAGTAAATAAGTGTTGCTTTCATATTCTTATGTAAAATGTGTGATATATTTTCCACATGGCACTTACATACATGAGTCTCACTTTTTTTTTACCATTAATGGTTAGCTACTTATATTGTTCCATTTATTAACATTAAATAACATTACAGGTACTTCAAACAACCATATTAATTTTTACATTAATTTTACAACAGCTACATTCAGGGTCTTATTTTCTTCAGTTTTATATGTAGACAATCAGTCACTGGTTTTGTAAGCTTTAACATAAACAATGCGACGGCCGTCTGGAGTCTCGTGTGTTTTAATATTCCGTATTATTAATAAATTGTATTGTTAATTTTGCACACACAAACATAAAATCAATAAAACAAATTCAGAAACATTCTTAAAATATATAAGAACAGTAAATAAGTGTTGCTTTCATATTCTTATGTAAGTAATGACGATATGTTTTCATGTCTTGCTTACTTGTCTGCGATCTCTCTTTTTTCTTTACCATTATGGTTAGTACTTTATTGTTCCATTTATTAACATTAAATAACATTACTTAAAATAACCATATTAATTTTACTACAGGCTACAACCAAGGTCTTATTTTCTTCAGTTCTATATGTAGAACCAGTCAGTCACTGGTTTTGTAATCAACGAAAAACAATGCTGTGTCATTTCCTCTTGTGTTTTAATATTCTCGTATTATTAATGAATTGTATTGCTCATTTTGCACACATAAACATTAATTCAATAAAAAGACATTCAGTAATAAACAATAATGAATCTTTTGTACATAAGAGAAATGGCGCTGTTTACCAATTATGCCGCGTCGTCTACGTTGGCGGGCCATTCAAACCATCGAAGTTCAAGTTTCGCCCAGTCAAAATTTTTTTGTGTGTGTGTTCAATAAAATTTGAATTAAAACTCGCGAAATTTGAGAAGCTATACGACATTTAACCCTTCAATATGCAGAAAAAGTGGTGCTAGTGCTTCCAAGCATAAGCACAAGTCACGATCTATCCAGGAAAAGGGTGAATTTCCATGGTCCCGCACCGGTGGGTCCGAGGTTGCTGGACTAGAGATTACAACCTGTACTTACATATTTTAACCAGTTTCTTAAAACCCACTAGTAACCCTGTTAAAGATACTACGTACTCTACAAAAAAAGTTTACGTAAATAAGTGTTGGTAGCAAGGTGCAGCTCACTGATACTATACATATGAAGGCAGGACTCAGACTGAGAATCTGAGACAGTGAAACATATGCCGCACCAAGCTTACATACAGACGTTCAACCACATGTACGAACATACAAACCGTCTGGACTGATGCTGGATTTTCCACTCTCTCTCTCATTGTGATGAATAGAGCACTTCAGAGAGTATGAAAAAACCAAATTCTGATATATTGAAGTCCGATTTATTGAGGTTTTACTCTACTGTGTATGTATGTATGTATGTATGTATGTATGTACAGTGGTCCCTCGGTTAACGAGTGCCTCGGGTTACGAGATTTCTTAAGAATCTAGCTACCTTCCATAAGATTCTAACTTCGTTAACGAAAGCAACCTCGATAACGAGTTTCTACGAACCCGACCTCAACATGTTTTCGCTTCATTTGTGGTCCACCAGCTGTAGTATTAGTCCGCCAATACAGTAATCGGTTCTAGGGCTTAAATTCCTTACTATTTTAGTAAATATCAAGAAGTTTATACTACGTGTATTCAATAATTTTAAAAGTTTAATATTAAATTTTTTAGTCATTTTAACAATTATTGAACATAATTGAAGTACAGGAAACTAGTTTTATGCTGCCAAATAGCCTGTCAACACACCAGTCTCTGTGTCTTTTAAGTGGAGGTAACATCTTGCTTGAGACTTCAACTAAATGCTTTTTTTCTATGTTTGCAAGCAAATTATTGGTCATTTTGAAATTTATTTTACATATTGACAATATATAATGCAGTGCAGTGTTGATTTAAAGAAAATAATCTTGAATTACACCAAGAGAACTAAAATTTTATGGTGAATGGCGCCATGGGTGACTTCTCTTCCACCCCAATGCTCTTCTCCCTTCTCCACCCCCATTCTAATTCCCATCATCATCATCATCCAGAGCCTTCTACATACACACCTCAAAGTAAGTGTACTTTTTCACTTTTTTTGTTGAATTTAGGCAATTTTGGTGAGCTGGAACCATTACCCAAAACCCATTGAAATACAATGGTTTCGTTAACTTCAGAACGAATTGTGCTTGTTAACCGAGGGACCACTGTATGTATGTATGTATGTATGTATGTATGTATGTATGTATGCGTGTGCACGTGCGTGCTTTATATTAATGTACAGTTTAGAATTGGGGAGAGAATTTTGACTTTTTTTTTATTATTGTTTTTGCAGATGCTTGAAGACTTGCTATTCCAGTGACCAGCTGAACTATAATTCTGCCTCGGACACATCTGAGAGATATTTCACCCCTTATGAGAGAGACTGTAATGGCCTAGATACTGGTGATGACCTGGACAACTTTCATGATCCCATGGTAAATGTTTAGAAATTCTTGGTGCATTATTTTCAACCTGGATGATATTACTGCCTAGCATCCTTTTTTTCTTCAATGTCATACACCTAACCTTTTTTTACTGAAGTTGATATAATGTGCAGTATTAAAGACTGAATTGTAGATGATTTTATGAATCGTGACCAGATACTAAGTATCACATACCAATGAGGGTATTGGACTATGATTAGCTGATTCTATTGTTTGTCTAAGAACCATGCCTATGAGGTTTTCTTTCCAGGAGAGAGCAGACAATATATCTATAAGGTCAGATAACACTACAAACACAAGTGGTAAGGCTTCTTCTAGCATAACTGGGGACACCTTCTCCATATCCAGTGGTGACACTATCAACAACTTTGATGGAACAATGGAACACAAGGGTAAAAGGGGAGACAACAATAAAAGCAGAAGTAAGAAATTAGTGTGTATACAGCAAATTTTAGTGTCTCAAGTAGTTTGTTGGTAGCAGAGAAAAATGCAGCTGTAAATAGCATAATTTCTTTTATAACATATATGTCATGTACTTGTTGACAAATTTAGGGACAAAGCCTCTGGCCACATGGCCTAACTTGCGACCGGGATCTGAAAGCTATATAAATTTAAATAAATTATCCTTCATCTTCATACCTGAGTCCCAAAGGATATCCACATGGTAAGAAAACACAGTATCCTGAAAAGGAAGATTTGAGGATTTTGCTAAGAGCTTAACATGATGTGCAGTTACCTATTCATTTTTTGACATTACTTACAATGTGGTCATTCCTTAACAGTCTGCTTCAGATCCCAACTATCCTCCACGTAGCACAATAATTCGTCTCCTCTTCTGACCATGCAGACAGCTAAGTGTTCCCTATGTAATGTTAGATATTTCCATAGGGTATTCTATGGTCACAATAAATCAGAGGTAATTCTTTAAACTTTTATTAGTACTGCTAGAGTGTTTAAGGAGTCAAGCTTATGGTTTGCTACCTAGCTACTTACTTTCAGAGCCAACACACCAGGTTCTGAATGAAAGAAGAATCCATTGTGTAGATCAGCTTCTCTTTATAGGGAAATTGTGTACCAGTTTAGGGTCAGGCTCTAAGTCAAGTTCCTGGTTTGTATTGGTAAAGAAAGTTCTGTGTCTGATGCTTATACCAAATATCCTCCTGGGGGTATTATATCTGCATGCACAATACTGGACTCTGTCAGGGTTTATTGCATTCTTTTTTATGCTTACTTTGTAATGCAATGTAATGCTCCAGAGTGTATAATACAGTATTCATTTACATGTTGCCCTCATTTTCCTGAAGATTGTATTCCTAGAAAAGGTTGGCACTAGTGAAACTGGCATAAACAAATACAGTACAAGTGCCCATAATAAAAGGAGGTTATATTCTCAGCCTCAGCCAAAGTCCCCTTTTTGTTGATATTTATGCATAGTTTACTGCAGTGAGACAGATACTGTAATATATTTAAGTATATGTCTGCAGGTCCCAGTAGACCAAGCACACATGGATGAAATGTGCTTAAAAGTCAAAGAACTGAAGATTCAGGAAGTCCAGCAGTAAGGAGAGTTTGTTGGATACGCAGCGATTCAATCAGAAACGTGGTTCAACAGAAACACTTCACACATTTAATGACCGAGCTGGAGATGGTGAGGAAGATGAAACCAGAAAAAAGACAAAATGCATGAAGAAGTTGAAGCAGGAGTGGATTGCAAGAAGTCTTACAACACTTGCCTCGGCAGTATTTATATATATATATATATATATATATATATATATATATATATATATATATATATATATATATATATATATATATATATATATATATATATATATATATATATATATATATATATATATATATATATATATATGTATGAAAGAGAAACACAGTCGCTGTATGAAATGGACTACAGTGATTTACTGCAAGTATATATATATATATATATATATATATATATATATATATATATATATATATATATATATATATATATATATATATATATATATATATATATATATATATATATATATATATTATATATATATATATATATATATATATATATATATATATATATATATATATATTTATATTTATATTTATATTTATATATATATATATATATATATATATATATATATATATATATATATATATATATATATATATATATATATATATATATATATATATATATATATATATATATATATATATATATATATATATATATATATATATATATATATATGTGCAAGTAAATCACTGAAAGGCGTGATTCAGTATATGCTGATATTGTGCATATATATATATATACAGTATATATTATTTATTTATTATTTTATCGCTATTGGCAATTTGCGGCCATTTTGAGGCCCAAACCCCCACAAATTTTAAGGGATTATTTTACCTCTTTGGTCAGGAAAGACTTTCTCTAAATTATCCCAAAATTGTGTCTTGAAATATAATTAGGAGTGCATTATTCATTTTAAAGTTTTGAAAGAATGCTATTGATGTCTAATTGAATCAAATCACTTGTATTTTCAGTTACCAGTGCCTTAACCAAGAGTGTTCTGTCATGTCATGTCTCACCAACTTTACTGCACCAGAACTTCTAACTGGTAATAACAAGATCACTTGTGAAAATTGTACCAAGGTTCACAATCAGCTTCATCCAGGTAATATCTTCTTGTGTTTCTCTCAACAGAATTAAACATGCATTGTTGACTGGTTTTGGTATAGTATTATACCATACAATTTATTTTATTTAATCCAGACACTTTTCTGTTATTTCATACAGCACTGTATACTGTATGGTACAAGAATAGTCATCAGTATACAGTATTGGAATATCAATGCATATATTCCATAAAATGGAGGCGTATTGCACATTAGATGACTTGATGAATACAGAACAGTACACTGAATTTTTTATATCGAATTCAACATTTGACATGGTTGTCCCCACAAGTGGGATACTCTTATAATGGTAGGACATCTTTGGTCTTATTAACACAATAAATTAAATTTTTATGGATTTCTCAGATCTCCATTATGAATTATTCACAATAATAGGCCAAATCAAGTTGTCTATTATGTGTTTGCCATGTACATGTGTGGGTAATGGGAAGATGGAATTCTGATGGTGTGACTCCTATTTTGAGAAAGTAGAAAATTAAGATATTACATTTGTTTTTAATCTGCTTCACCTGTAATGTTTTCCAATACACTTTAATGGTGTAGAAATCCATTTAGAACTTACAACAGTACTGGATGAACTGTGTTATATGGCCAGTTACTGTAAGTCTAAGAGTTAAAACACAGATAATGCTATGCAACTGGGTTAGAATTAATCATTTAACTAAACTAAAATTTAACTAAACTTTGTTATGAAAACAAAGCTTAGCTCTCCAGTCACTTGTTTGGTTGCAGCCTGCTTATACAGGAACTTTTTGTCTCTACATTTGTCTTTATTTTGTGATTGATTACCCCCAAAAAAACTGTTTACATAAAAAATAAATAAATTCTATAGTAATTTTTGTGCTGGTATTGAGTAATGGTGTGAAGAGTAATGATGAGAAGATAATACTACAGTAGATATTGGCTTGGACTTTTGTTCATATTTCAGGGTGTCGTAAACACTTCCTACATTGGTCAGATTGGTAGCGCTGATCATACAATATGCAGTATTAATATTTTGGAAGTTTTCAGGAATCTACTATTCATCGTATATAACACTGAAAATGCATCTTTATACAGTACAGTATATATTTCATATGTTTATTATGGTAATGTAATATTGCTACAGATGACCCAAAGGAATCAGTGAAGAGTAATGCCAGCAAGCAGATGCTAATACTATCACCACCTGCTGTGCTCACGCTGCAGCTGAAACGCTTTCATCACCAGGGTTTTAATCTTACCAAGGTTAACCGTTACGTCCAGTTCCCATTAGTCCTTGATATTGCTCCATTCACCTCTTCAATCTCTCTGGTATGTATTTTGATGTAATTTGTTTACAGTACAAGCCCCAAATACCTGAATAAGTAAGCCAGCATATTACACTAATGCAGATTGGCTTATTTAAGCTCATAATAAATTAGTTAAGTAAAATAATCATACTCTGTAATTACAATATAGTACCTGTACTTTTAGTTTTGTGTGTAATAATAATAATAATAATTAACGGTTTATTGAAAGAGCATGGCAGCCGCGAGGCTGAAAATATACAATTACATAATTGGGAATGGGTCTCTTGATTACCAAATGATGTAATAAGTAATATAAGTGATACAAATAAGATATATAATAATTAGGTGTTGATAATTTTTACAATGGTTGGGATCACTGTTCTTGTAGCAATCAGTTCGTGCTCGTGAGGGCTGGATGAGGTTGGGCAGTTGGGCCACGGGACAGGACAGTAGCTTGGGCAGTGCAGGTGTGCTCCATCCTTCAGGTTAGGTCAGGTGAGCCATGGGGTCCAGGTCAGGTTAGGTCAGATCCAGCCACACTTAGTATTGCTGTGTTTTTGTGCTTCGGGTTAAAATTGCCACTTTTGTATATCACTTGTGGGTTGATCGCAATCTTTGCACTGTACTGTTGTGGGGAGGATGTTGATAAATCCAAATGGGAAGGAGGAGACGGGGAGGAGGGCCTGACAGACCGGCTGGCAGCTGTCTCCATGGTCAAGAGACCACGGCCACGTTAGCAGGTACCACTACACACGTCCTTACCCTATGAAGGCTGGGGAATTATGTGTCTGGAGCTGCGTGGTGTGTGCGAACTTTTTCTTTTTTCGGGAAGATTGCCATCGCCATTGTTTGAATAATTTTACCTAAAATCTTTCCATTTTCTGTGGCTGAATGTGTGTTGAACTTATAACTACTGGGTAATCAATTACAGTGCACTATTATGGGTGAGTCCAAGGGATTGATCTCTGGCGGCAATTTCAATGTCCGCACACGGCAGGAATTTCAAACGACAATTATTTAAGTATTTGGACAAATGTTTCTTGCGCAGAAAGGGTCCAGACTATCCAAAGTCTTTACTTGGTCCGAAGTTTCGAGGGTTTACTGTATAAGGCATGGATTGCCTTGTTCAGTGTGAAATATAGTGGATGATGTGAATGTGGATATATTCACAAAATTCACTTGGTTGTCATAGGTAGGTAAATAATATATTTTCACATCATAAAATACAATAGTACATATTTTATGTGCAAAAAATAGCTCCACCAGCCTTTAAACCAACATATGGGTGATGCTGACAGTGGTTGAGTTCAGCCAGCCAGTTGACTTGAGAGATGTGTGGCTGCTTTCACCATATATGCCATAACCTCACATTGGAGGAGGCGTGACACATTCATACATACCTTCAGCTAGGTCTCTCCCGATGCCTTGTAATCTCTTTGATTAGTTTCAAGTACAGTATCACTGGCTTACAGGGGCTCTGGACAGTGCTGGGATAGCAGAGGAATCACCACTATACTTGGATATCATTTCATTCATATTCACAAATGGATTGCATGAATACAGACGGATAAAGGGAGAATACTTAACTTGCAGGGAACATAGAAAATGGACCATAGGAGAATACGAGAGTTAGGAGGGGGTGATGTCATATGTATTGAGTTAGAGTACATTCCTGTGCATATCATAGAAAAATATCCACCTGACTCGTGGGCTGTGCCAAGTGTTCGATTTTCATTTTCGTTCTGACCAGATAGGCAAATGTTACCTTCAGAAAGTGAGGTATGGTGTAAGAATAGAGCATTCAAATAAGCAAATTTTCGGATAAAAGTTACAGTATTCCGGATAGCAAGGGATACCTGAACTATTTTGTTCATATGTTTTTAATGCTCTTGATGGGTATTTAGTTAGGATGGTATAACATCAAAGCACATACACACAAGCTCATTGGTACACATCAATATTACTAAATACAGTCGGCCCTTAACATACGCGGGGGTTACGTAACAGATACCCGTGGATGTTAAAAATCCGCGTATATGTTCTGCACCCCAAAAAAACCCTGGTCCTCCCATGTCCTTATTTACGGTATATACCTGTGTGTGTATTTCAAGTTTTTAAGACCAAATTATTTGGCAAAAAATTGGGGGTCGACCTCTAAACGGGTAATAGTTTCGTTAGGTTGAAAAATATTTACCAGTAACTACCAGTAAACAATGGAAACGATGCACCAACGCACCACCAGCTGTGAGTGTCGGTACAGTTGCCAGGGCAGATCTCTTGCGTCATCATAAGCAAGCCCAAAGTAGCCAAATCCATGGTATGGTAGCACAGGACGATGTAAAACAAAGTATTCATTTATTAAAGTTTATTTATAGATACTGTACATAAATTTTTGTTCATTACATTTGAAACATCAATCTTTGTTATTTAAATTTGAAACAAAAGAAAACTACGATACCGTATTTTCATTAAAATATTACATCACAAGTATATTTTACCTTAACTGTGACTGAATGAATACTATAGGTATTCTCAGAAATAAATCTGGAGTTGTCGTCTCTTTCTTTCATTTCTTCCATGATGTTTTTGTATGGAGCGAAAACGTCATCCATCCCTCGCATGAATTTCAGGGCACGCACCATGGAGGGGTCCATACTATAGGCCAGGTTTTTCAGTGCCTCAATATTCCTGGTCATCTCCCCCAACTTCTCCAACGTTATTTCTTGGTGCTCTTCCTCATCCTCTTTCCCTTTTGCTTCCTCTTCCTTGCCTGAGTCTACTAACTCCTGTAGATCCTCCTCGGTCAGCTCAGTGTCGTGCTCTTCAATTAGCTCCCTAATCTCGTCCTCTGCCATGTCCCGGAAGCCTTCAGCAGCCACTTTCCTTGACAGTGCCAGGGTCTTTCTGAATATTTTCATTAAAATCCATCAAAATCATTTTCCTTGTCATCGTCTTAAGCACCAAACAGCTCCTCCCAGTCTTCTCCTTGAACAGGGCTAGAGGGTACGTGTTTTTCGAATCGTTTTCAATTAAAAAAATGTTACAGCACATGTATATTTTACCTAAACTGTGCCTGAATGAATATATTCTCAGAAATAAATAGTAGTTTTGCTGAAACGTGATGTATTTCAATGTAAAGTAGGATAAAATACATGACGAAAACAAAAGACTTTACCTAACCTTCCAATGTTCAAGAGATGTTACTCGTTTTTTTAATAGTTTTCGGTTAAAATACTGTTATATTACAATGATATTATATTCATACTGTGCTTGATATACTACATTCACGGAAATGTAATATTTTTGCTGAAATGACGTATGTATTACAGTGGAAAGTGACGAAACAATGACTTTCGCTTTCTTTCGTTCAAAAGATGTTACCGTAATCGCTTTTCGAATGGTTTTCAGTTAAAAAAACTGTTGCATCACAAGTGAATTAGGATAGAATATTATTGTAATACAACAGTTTTTTAACTGAAAACCATTCGAAAAGCGATTACGGTAACATCTTTTGAAGAAAGCGAGTCATTGCTTTCGTCACTTTCCACTGTAATACGTACGTCATTTCAGCAAAATATTACATTTCCATATTCTCAGAAATAAATAGTAGTTTTGCTGAAACGTAATGCATTTCAATATAAATTAGGATAAACTACATGAAAACAAAAGACTTTACCTAACCTTCCGATGTTCAAGATATGTTACTCGTTTTTTTAGTAGTTTTCGGTTAAAATTCTCTTATACAGTGAGTTCTGCTATAACGCGTGTTTTGATAACGCGAATTTGCTCTAACGCGATTTATGAATTAGGAACGATATTTGTATAACACGAACGCTTGTTTGCTATAACGCGATTTTTGCTTACTATTTCTCCAATTTTGTGGTATTAACTGTGAATATGGTAAAGAAGAATATCTCCAAGAAGCGTTCTGGTGATAGAATTCCCGGTGATGATCGTAAAAGAAAGGATAAACACTTGAAGAGAAGCTCGATGTTATCAACCTCAAAATCACCCTTCTCCCCCATCAAGTTACATTCATATTTTTTCAAGGTAAAGTGTTACATTTACTGTATGATTTATTATTAGATATGAATGTAACATTTATTTAGACTGTGCTATCCTTTGTGTTAGGCTAACTACTAAATTTTTTCGATTTCGAGTAATCTGCACCTAACCCTATTTTTTCCATAAGCCCTGTTATTTCTATTACGCGATTTTTTATAACACGATATTTTACAAGAACACAATTATCGCGTTATAGCAGAACTACCTGTATTAGTGATATTCTATTCATTCTGTGCTTGATATAATACATTCACAGAAATGTAATATTTTTGCAACTACAATGCTGATGTCAACACAAGCGTGGTTACAGCGAGACTGACTGAGTGAGGGAGAGCTATGCGTGTGTGTGTGAGGTTGCGGGAGCGGGCGGTGTCCTGTGTTCGGTGCCGCACGCGATTTGAATGTACTTCAATGTACAGAATATTCCTCCGGCGGGGCAATCCGCGTATTTGCAAATCCGTGTATTATAAACCCGCGTATGTTCAGGGCCGACTGTACTGTAGTTTAAATTTTTAAATAGCTCAAATTTCAATTAAATTCAATTTAACTTACAGTTGAAATTCATACTATTAGGCACGTAACAACAATCACATAGTTAAACTGTAATGCACAACAATTGAGTTGCACTGATAGAAACTGCAAAATGTGATCTAATGAAAAAAATCACTAAATGAATATGACATGCAAAATGTAAGCTATGATTTGAACCAGTAGTATAGTTACTGTAGTTAGCATCAGTAAATATGCTACAATCTTTCAGATATTCTTCCCATGTACCCATATCTCCCCACCAAAAGCTAGTTTTTAAAGTATAATATGTTTATTAATTTTTATTATTATTTTCTAAGTATTTTAAAGGTAAGGCATTGAATTAGTAAATTCATCAAAAATCTTTACCTTTCTTTAGGAAATCCAATGTATTCATTGTTATTTTTGTGATTGAAATATTGTTTTTCAGGGTTTGGGCAATATGTCACGAGGACAAAAACAAGTGTTGTATGGTCTTTATGGGGTTGTAGAACACTCTGGTCGTCTGAACTCTGGCCACTACGTTGCATATGTCCGCTCCCGTCCACTTGATCCTGCTCACACCAACAAGCAATATCTCAACTTGAAGCCTTCAAGTCAGTTTGAGATTGATCACTTGGTAGCAGAAATGGCAGAAAAAATTGATGCCTCAACTGGTACTTTAGGAACTGACCTAAAGAGCTCACCTGGAAACAAAACCTCAGTCAGTCTAGAAGTGAGCTTTATTTTGTTTTGTCAATATAACACCTAACATAAAAACTGTGTGGTTCTTATTAATAATCTAATATTGTGGATATTTTATATGCACATTCATTCATGCACTCACTATGAACCCTAATTAATTGATATATATAATACAATTTGCATCCACACAACAAGCAAGTGCAGGACTTGACACCACTCCTCACACCACCAACACTCCCCATACCACCACCACTTCCCACCACCACTCCTCACCACTACCACCAACACTCCCCACCAACACTCCCCACCACCAACACTCCCCATCAACACTCACCATCACCACCACTCCCCACCACCACTCACCACCACCAACTGTCCCTACTACTGCTACCATTACCCCCTCAGTACTACTACTTTGCTGTCACTTGGAATCGAGTATGATGATCATCCATCTATGATACAATGATATTAGTTATTAAGGATGTCACCTTTGTTAGTGAGCTCTGAGGTGACTCGAGAGAGCTACATCTAGTGTGGGAGGGGCGGCAGCAGCGTCCATCAGCTGGGAGAGGCCTCAGGAGGCATCACACTATCACCTTTTACTCTCCTTGTACTATTTACGTTTTCCCACCCTTCCACCTTCGCCAGCAACATGAGGCATGGTTGAAAACTATCACAACACTGTTATCAATAAAATAAATCACTGTGATGAACGAGAAATTGGCACAGGCCACAGGAAAATGTAGGTCCTGTGCTGTTGAACCACAAAGGGTGACTTAACCTTGGAGGCAGTCTTCATAGGTGCCAGATTACACCGACATTATCAAATGTGTTTCTTGCGTATCTAGCGCTCATATGCAAACATAAAATTATTTTATTGTAATTTTTTAGTTTATCCGCAAATTTGCATATGAAAACCCCAAGAGTGTTAATATATTTTTTTTTTTTTTTTGCAGTAAACTTTGTAGCAGCTCAGCAGTGAGGTCTACTGACAATATATTCCTGTCTAATAATAAATTTTATGCAGCATCGTAGAAGATTATACTTTAAAAGGATTGCACTAAATTGAGATAGAGCAGAGAGGAACCCATGACATTCTATCCCCTTGAATGACTAACTAAAAACTAATTTTTCATCCGCCAGACCACTAGGAGTCGGCTGACAGTTGCCACAGTATAAATATACGTACTGTAAATTTAATTTTAAAAATTAAAAAATTTAAGGATCACAAAGTTTAAGAGAATTTTGTTTTACTAAGAAATTATAAATAAATACCCTGTACTGTACTGTAAGCGATGATGAAAAAAATCTGATGGACCATTAATTCTTAAGCTACAGACTGGCACCGGTCCGTGGACCATAGATTGGGAATCACTATTTTAGATACAGTCGACCCTCGTTAATTCGGACCCCTTTAATCCGGATTTCGGATAATTCGGACAAAATCTGAACGAACTTTTTTTTTTTTTTTTAGATTTGTAGGAATATTACTTACGTGGACCTTAAGCTAAAATGCTGGTCCACCCACTGCTGGGATAAAACACCAGCATCTTTTTGGTTAAATGTAACATCTCCACTACTAGTGTGGGGGGGGGGGATGCAACTTTTAGCTTCAGACATGAAAAATATTTACCATTTACTGCCAGTAAACAATGGAAATGTAAAATATGTACCAATTAGTAATGAAATGTTGTGCAGTTCCTTCAGCAAATGAAGCTCATCAACTTACAATAGGCTAAATTACCTTACAACGTGTTTTCAGTAGTCTATGTTGAAGTTCTTAGCACAGGCTAACTTATCATATCATATACTGTATCACAGTTCTCATTGATCTACAAAAAATACCGGTAATAAAAATCTTTTCGATATTTCACACTTAATATAATACCCGGTAATCTACTTCAACCTCCTATTGTTTACAACGACGCATGATGCACCACCAGCTGTTGAGTATCAGCTAGACGGTACACGTGTTTTTTTAATCGTTTTCAGTTAAAAAACTGTTACATCACACTTATATTTTACCTAAACTGTGCCTGAATGAATATATTCTCGGAAATAAATAGTAGTTTTGCTGAAACGTGATGTATTTTAATGTAAAATAGGATATAATACATGACGAAAACAAAAGATTTTACCTAACCTTCCGATATTCAAGAGAAGTTACTCGTTTTTCTTAATAGTTTTTGGTTAAAATACTGTTATATTACAATGGTATTCTATTCATACTCTGCTTGATATAATGCATTCACGGAAATGTAATATTTTTGCTGAAATGACGTACGTTTTACAGTGGAAAGTGGGATAAAATCGTGACGAAAACAATGACTTTCGCTTTCTTTCGTTCAAAAGATGTTACCGTAATCGCTTTTCGATTGGTTTTCAGTTAAAAAACTGCTGTATTACAATAATATTCTCTCCTAATTGACTTGAATAAATACTATGATACCATATTTCTGAATATTTTCATTAAAATGCATCCAAATCATTTTCCTTGTCATTGTCTGCAGCACCAAACAGATTCTCCCAGTCCTCTCCTTGAACAGGGCTAGAGGGTACGTGTTTTTCGAATCGTTTTCAGTTAAAAAACTGTTACATCACACGTATATTTTACCTAAACTGCTCCTGAATGAATATATTCTCGGAAATAAATAGTAGTTTTGCTGAAACGTGATGTATTTCAATGTAAAATAGGATAAAATACATGACGAAAACAAAAGACTTTACCGAAGCTTCCGATGTTCTTGAGATGTTATTCATTTTATTACTAGTTTTCGGTTAAAATACTGTTATATTACAATGATATTCTATTCATACTGTGCTTGATATAATACATTCACGGAAATATAATATTTTTGCTGAAATTACGTACGTATTACAATGGAAAGTGGGATAAAATCGTGACGAAAACAATGACTTTGAAATATAATGCAATATTAACCCCTAAATCGGTTAATTCGGACAATCGGCTAAAATGGACACCCTTCCCCCCCTATTAGTCCGAATTAACGAGGGTCGACTGTAATGTTATATTCTTTGTTTCCTCTTCCACTTACTCTTAAATAACTTAATATTTTTCTTTACAGGAATATGAAGAGGAAGTGAAGGCTGGACGATGGTTTCATGTTTCTGACACTTATGTTGCTGAGGTCAACATTGATCGTGTCCTGAAAGCCCAAGCATACTTACTCTTCTATGAACGTCTCGTCTGAACATAGTAGGAGATAGAATGTACATAGTATGTCAGATTTGCTTATTTGTACATGCAATAAATATTTATTTGTACATTTTTCACTGGTAATATGTATAGCTGAGTTACTTCATTGCCTACTGTTGTTTGGTAATAGGCTATGATGATTATTTTTAAAAGTGAAAGTTGGTGTACAGGTGAATGCCATTCTTTGACAGCTTCCTATAAGTAGTACAAAGTGATGTTACTCAAGTTTTTTTATTTTTATCAAATTAAAAAATCAAGACAGCGATAGAACATACTTTGGATAATGTCTGTAGAGTACAGGGTGTATTGATAGTTGGCAAATGTGGACTGAGAAGACTTCTATTTAGTTTCCCTTGTGTCTGTTGGAGGAAGCAATTTTTTCATTGACTTTTCGAAGTAAAAACGAACATACAGATGGTACAAGATGCTCTCTACAACTACACCACCACATTGATAGTTATTTTCTTCATGAATACAAGGGCGGATCCAGGGGAGGGGGGTCCCCCCCTTTACACCATAAATTTCCTATACCTTTTCTTTAATGCAGTATTGTACTGGGTGGGCTCACTGCACTCACCATGTTACCCCACCCACCACTTCTTGGACCCCTCCCTATTTGATATTCCTGGATCTGCCCCACTAATATGTAGCAATCTTGTATGTTAAGTTATAGTAAAAAAAATTCTTTCCTTTTAAAGTTAATCATAGAATCTTTGTAATCTTTGCAGCTTCTTAAAGCCACTTGTGCAGAAAATGTATTAGGAATGTGTGCATGATTCCAAAAAATAATCCATTTGTTAGCAGCATTTTGTGATCAGGATGAAAATCAGGAACTGATTTTGGCTTTTGCTATTTTATTAGTGTGAAGTACCAATTTCTCTTGGAATACTTTATATAATTGAAACTTAACATCGCACATTAGTTAAATTTTGTGTCTTGCATAATCGTGAAAATATCCTTGTTATATGTGAAATATAACTTTTTAAAATTTTGTCTTCCATAGCATTATGCAATTTCCCTAAAGAATATGGTTTCTCCATTACAGTGTTCGTCATTCAGTCAGTTTGGCTTCAGTTTTTATTTTATATACTATAGACGACAATAGAGACTTACCAGCAGTTATCAGACTATGATCTGTGATAAAGGCAATATTATGTATTTATTATTTTTGTTGTGGTTGTGATTGATACTGTAGTACATGATGTGCTCCAGATAATTCATGGAAGCACTATAATGAAAGAACTTACCATACCCATCAAGGATTCCTTTTTACTAATGATAATTATTTTTAGGTCATGTTCACACCTTTGATGCTTTACTATTTTTTTTATTTATTTATTTTTTATTCATAAGTCATTTTTTTCATAGAACTTCAGTAGAAGCACTTAAATTTGGAATGCAGCTTCATGCTTCTTCCCCTCCCCCTTACCAATCTTGTAACCATTAAAAATGACAGAAAATTACAACATAAAGTTTCTTTTTCCATACTATAGACATAAATTAGCAACCACAGATTTAGAGATGGTATTTAAGGGCCATACAGTATTGTACTGTAAAGGGTCCCCTTGTGTTTCTATATTATTTTTATATCTTTTGTGTTCCCCATTTGTTTGGTATCACTTACTCCAGCATCATCCACACTCACCTGATTTAGTAAATAAACCATGGAATGTCCCTATTTTTGCATAGTACTTAATTGTTTTTTACCTTCTTTATCAAGCAAAAGGAAACTACAGGTATTCTATTTTTGTGTATTTTATCAGGTTGACACACTTAAGTCCTCATCCAATGTTTTAAGGGTTGCTGCTGAATCTCCAGCTTGAGAATACACAATAATGACAATGGTTAAGAAGCGGCAATCCATGGGTCAGTCTATGAGTGCCGACAATGACATTTAGATGTAAGTAAATGGATAAGTAGTTGTGATGCTTGTAAACATTCTTTCTACTTATCTATCTGAGTTGTATGTTTTTTAATTTTTACAAAATATTTACAAAGATGGATTTTGTATAGCTAGGGAATCATCCTGTAATCTACAATAGTTTTTAGAAAGAAAGTTTTATACGTACTTACTTTTTTATCAATCAGTTTTGAAGTAAAAATGTGAAATTAGATTTTATATGCATTCTTAAGTAATAAGAGATTGAAGTGCTGCTGTTAAAAGATCACCTAAGTCGGTGCACAAAAATAAATTTCAGCCAACTTTGGTGTGGCTGCCTTGTACTAAAGGGCATAACCTCTGCTTCTATGTTTCTATCTATTCATTAACTTTATTGCATTTTTAAGAGGCATAATGGTTAACCAATCCTCATAAGATACTATCATAGATAGAATCACCTACAACTCATTATAAGTGAAACAGAGTGAATCAAAACCAATTGTGCTTAAATATTTTATTAATTTACCACCTCCCAAAGCTGGTTCATTAACTCTCTCTTTGCCAGACCAAGCAGGGAAATTTCCAACTGTTCCCCACCTGATGACAAAACTTTTGTTATCCAGTGAGCTATGCATTATGGTTATTTCCATGCATTTGTTTCAACTCATAATTTCAGGTTGATGTACATGCACAAATCATCCTACAAAATATTTGCAAAAAAAAAAATAAAAATACCGTAAGGTCAAAACCATAAATGGAATAAGCATTTTTTTCACGTACTGAGTGTTAAGTCGGCCATTCTAAGCTGTCTTCTGTGTGTAGTGAAACATTTGACAAATATTTTGTCATCCAGCAGTGAGAGGGTTAATAAGGCTTAAGTGCACATTTGTTCTTTTGCATGTATACACAGGTCATGATTACTGAGCATCATTTCATTTGTATGCTATTCATATAATTTTAGTTGCATTAGCTAGCTCTATGAATACTATTTCTGACTTAATGAGAAAACTTTTTATCCAACCCAGTCTGACACAAGTTGTGATTGTTCTTTGTCTTTTTTTATAAAAAATGATGATATTAAAACACTACAGGGGGTCCCCGGGTTATGAACAGGTTCTGCTCCTTAGGATGTCTGTAAGTCGGAACACATTCCCTATGTGCACTATATCATAACCCAAGTGCTTTTTTGTACATCTTGAATCACTTAATTTAAGAGAAAATAAGAAATTGAATGACAAAATACAGTAAAGAAAGATAAAAATTTAAGTTTAACAGTTACATTGAATCATGGGACTGGCTTGCATGTAGAGATGGGCATTTGTAGGAGTGAGCAAATGTCCTTCTCAGGTGATGTCCTAATTGAAGCAATAACTCCTTGTTCCGTCGGTTGTAAAACAGATGTTGTGTTTGGAGGTAGGTATAACCTTAATGTTTGGATGAACATCATCTAAAAATGCTGGATGGCCAGGTGCATTGCCAAGAACCAAGAGAATTTTAAAAGGCATTGACTTTGAAATACAATACTGCTCCACTTCAGGCACAAAATGATTAAGGTACCAGTCTTCAAAAAAGGGCCAAGGTCACCCTAGCCTGCTTATTAGCTTTCCAGATAACTGGAAGCGATGCCTTGAAAACACCCTTCAAAGCTCTAGGTTTCAGTTTGTAGTCCCCAGCAGCATTACCTCCCAACAGTAAGGTCAGCCTCTCCTTGGCAGCTTTATGCCCTGGTGCTGTTTTTTCATGTTTTGAAAGGTATGTGTGTTCGGGCATCCTTTTCCAAAATAAAACAGTCTCATCAATATTAAACACTTGCTCAGCACAATACAGTAATCTCGTTCTTCAATTACTTAAGCTAAAGCAGCAAGAACTTCACTAGATGCATCACCTTGTAATGTTATGTAAGTTTGCCATTGCCTTGAACCGGTTAAACTAGCCCCTACTACTGTAGCAACAAAATCTTCCCCATCACTTTCACCACCACGTTTAGCCTTCAAGTCAGCGTGCAAGCTTCTCACTTTTTCCTGAATCAAGGCTAGTCTTAGAGGCAGACACTTGATTTTGATCTTCCACCCATGTCACTGACAATCTTTCCATTTTAATTAACAATCCACTTATTTGTTTAGCTACCACAGTTGACTGCATTGGTGTAGATCCTTTAACATGTTCAAGAATTTTCTGTCGCAAAATTGTTCTGACCATTGACCGACTGAAGCCAACACCTGACCGATCACTAAGGGTGTTTGGCCTTTTTCAGAACGTTTAATTACATGAAGCTTCACCTCCATCGTAATTGTTTTCCTTTTCTTGGATGCACTATCACTTGCATCAGGTTTGCATTTGGGAGCCATGGTGAGGGCCGAAAAAGAGAGTCAATAAGCAAAAAACAAACGTTTGCACTTGATCACACAGGTTACTGAGGTGAGGGTAAGGGGTACACTGACGCTCCCTCAAGGCGTGTGGCTGGGTAACTCATCACTCCCCACGCACTGCTCTGCCTCCTCTTTACGCCGTGCAAACTAGTTCTCGTACGTACCTGCTACGAACCATTGTACTTATGTCGGATTTTAAAAATAATTGACCTTATGGACCTCGTTCGTATCGGCAGGCGTTCGTAAGTTGGGGACCCCATGTATTGTAATGTATACATTTTATTATTATTTTTTTTCATGCCATTGTCATGACATGTTGTGTTTGACCTGACTTAGGAAAAAGGAAGATATATATTGACCCTGGGCTTGAGGTCAAGGTCATTAGATGGAGGCATAATGGTGTTTTTATCTTTATTTTATGGGTAAAAGAAATCCATAATATGTTTTGTTTATACATATACCTAAATAAGGGCCATAAGGTGCATTAGTGAAGGGTACAAGGGCACAAGTCGTGGGGAATGGACCAGTCAAATAATTCTTTCAGTAAGCTAGTCAGATTGGATTGGAATTCCTACAGATAGTTATTTAATACATATAATAAAATGAAGGTACCACTGTGCATTTTACAACAGATCCACCTTGTCAAAGTAGGAAATGCCAATTATTTACATTACTGTAGGTTGTTAGAAGTGGATAAGTACTGTAATTACCTTTCAGTGATAAGTAGTTTTTATATGAATTAGATATTGGGTTAACCATTTTTATGAAAAAATGCAATAAAACATCATATTTTTCCAAGGAAGAAAGTAAAGTACTACAGTATATTATATTTAGTTGGTACAGACCTGTTGAATAATATTAGTGAATATCATTTTCAATAATGCAGTTAAAGTTGTTGAAGGAAGAGTCCAAACAGAAGGTGTGAGTTAGTACTTTATAGTAAATGTCTAGGATTGTAACAGTAGAATTTATATGATGAACAGGAGCATGTACAGTGCAATTGATTGGTAAAGATTGGCTATAAAATATAAAAAAGTTATAAGAAAAAATGTTTTTAAGAAATGCAAAAAATAATCAAACATCATTAGATATCAAGTAAGGAATTTAAGGATGCAAGTAAAAAAAGACACTTTCAATGCTCTATGCTGAATATTTTGGTGCAATCCTGTTACTCTATTAAACTTGTGCTCAAAATGAGTTAATTATAAAGGTATAGTAGTATATATTTTTGCTTGTATTGAGGTTGCACTTGTTACCATTATCCTTGAAATGGTGTTTGGTTGATGGAATGGTCAGAAAAAAATCCAATAAGCTAAGTTTATCTCTGTTATAAGTTATTTAGCCATCTGAATGATGGAAAATTTTAATTGCAGTGCAATGACTCTGTGATAAATTGAACTTAGTGATAGAGTAGTACTTTGGCCCCTAATGGTCTATGTATACTCTGCAGACAGCATTTTGGTACAGTACTCCTATTCTTTTTCACTTGTACTATTTTTATTGACAAGATCCATGAATGAGGTAATTTTATACTTATTGAAATTTAATGAAATGATTCAAGTGACATGTTTCCTAGTTCCAAAATTTGAAATAGAAATTAATGTTTATTGTGAGACAGGGTAGTCCTGATTCTCACTGTAAATATTATACAGTATAAACATTTCTTAATAGTCATAATGAAGCAGTACATCCATATCTTGGGTTCCTCCTTTTATCTACATTACAGTTACATTTTGTTTGAAATTACCTCACTGTTATCAAATGAAATGCGTTTTTTAGGAGAATTGTAATAAACTTTAGGTATCTATGTATTAGAAAAATGTCATTGAATGAATCTTACTTTTTGGTGTACTGCAGCATACATTTGTTTTAATGTGTATTAAATATTTATTGAAGTAAATATGTACTTTTAACCTATTCCTTTGAACAATATACAGCATATTTTAATTTTGTCATACTGTAGAGTTTTTGTATGAAGTACTGTATAAATTTTAGTTATTAAATGTTGTTGCTCTCTGAATTATCCTTCACAAGTTCACAAATCAATTTACAGTAGTATTTAGAATTCCATTTGTTGAAAGATTGTGGTTTATCTGTTGAATTTTCAGATTAAGTAAAATTTTAACAGATCTGATGCTCTACTTACTTATTTGTCAGTCTGGATAAAGCTTCAGTTATGTATATTAAAATTATTTTTAATGTTATTTGACACTAAAGCAATATGGTTAGTAACCTTAACTATATTTGTAGAGTGGTGGGTAATCTTTTTTATTGTATCAAGGAGCAGCAACACTGCTTAGACAGCTAAAAGGTCACTTAGATGCCCTACATATAAGGCCCAGTTCCCACTTTGTGAAAGTGGGTTGGTGATATGGAGGGTATCCAACCATAAATCTTAATTCAAATTTGCATGATGGCAGTTGAGACACCGTGCCACCAGGTTATCACAGCCAACCCATGGAAGTGTGAGAAATTGGCCTTTAAACAGCAATGTTTTTGGTAACAACTCTTCATTGGGAGATTTTTTTTTTTTTTTTTATTTGCAAGTGCTGGATGAGGTGTTTGTTGAAGATCAACACATTTTGAGACCTAACCACCTGCTATATTTGTGGACATAGCTTGTAAAGCTTGAGACTGTGACATGGTACACTGTATTGCATATTGTGCGTTTTCAGTATTCGGCATTTGTTTTTTATTGTAAAATATTTCTTACATCTTTGCACTTCTTTAGTCAGTAAGGCCAACAGTGGCATTGTGCTTCAACATTTGCAGCATCATTTGCCTATCATATGGTTCATGCCAACGCAGGGACCTCCAGAAACAGATCAGAAACGATCCAAACTTCTTTTCCAAGGTCATCACTGGTGATGAAAGCTGGTTATAAGGCTACAACCCAGAAAGCAAGCAGCAGTCGTCCCAGTGGAAGAGTCCACGTTCACTGCGACCGAAGAAAGCGAGGCAATTCAAGAGCAATGTTAAGAGAATGCTGATCTGTTTCTTTGACATGGAAGGAATTGTTCACGAGGAGTTCGTTCCTGTAGGTTCAACAATTAATCAGCACTTTAATATCGAGGTCCCGAGGCGTTTGAGGGAGGATGTGAGGAGGAAACGTCCGGACAAGTGGCGAGCACAAAACTGGCTGCTGCATCATGAGAACGCGCCGGCCCACACCGCTCTGTCTGTGCAGCAGTTTCTGGCTAAAAACAGCATGGCAGTGGTCCACCAACCCCATACTCCCCCAACCTAGCCCTTTGTCACTTCTTTCTGTTCCTTAAGATGAAGATCAAGCTGAAGAGGCAACGATTTGATAACCGAGTAGATTCAGGCGGAAACTCACGACGTGCTGAAGAACATCCCCCAAACGGAGTTCCAGAGGTGCTTCCAGCAGTGGGCCCGCTGTATCAACTCTCAAGGGGACAGCAGTGATTAGAATCTAAGGTAAGTCTACATCTTTTTATCGATACAGTCCGGGAACTTTCGGATCACACCTCGTACAGTACACTAGTTGTACCAAATGTTATTGGGAAATTATTAAATGTAATAGAAAAATATATTTTTGTATGTGTAACCTAAAAGTTTTCATTTCAAAAGTTAATGAAATCATATTGAGGTTCTACTTTATATAAATTGTTAATTTAGTTGGATCATATATGGTAACCTTTTTTTAGACAAATTTCCTCAAGAATTTTTTATTAATCAATCCACTACTGTACATAACTTGAAAAGGTTAGGAATAACAGAAAACTCATTTTCATCTCCTTTTATTTTCATAAAAATACAAAAATAGTAATGATTTATAATTGACATTATTTTCAAAACTCATGTGAACAAAATCTTCAGAAAAATCTTTATATTTATATATAGGGTATTGACACTCGTCGTGGAGTCATTTATCCTTATGTATGTCTCGGGAAGACACCCCTTAAATTATGAAATCTGAAACATCCTGTATGATATCACTCGCATGACTTGATCATCTCCTGATAAGCTGCTTGGCCACTATCTAAAAACATGTCTAATTTATCAAAAGATTGCGGCAATCTGTCGCGTTCATACTTTAGTAACGCCTCTTTCTCTTTTGATACTTGCAATTTTATCTCATACTCTTTCATTCGTACCTCATGCTCTTTCATTCTTGCCTTATGTTCTTTCATTCTTGCCTCATACTCTTTCATCTTTGCCTCATACTGTTTCATTTCGGCATCATGTGCCTTTTTCATAAATTTCATCTTCATGCTGTGACTGTCCTCTTGCCTCTGCCGACATGCAGCGTACTCATCGGTAAACCTCCTCTTTTTACTTCTGGTTGTCACTGCTGACACGGGGGAGGTGAAAGAGCAAGTGGGTGGAGGTGAAGCGACAGGAGTACCGGGTGATGTAAGAGGATCAGACAAAGGTGGAACTACTGGTGAATGAATAGGGAGTGTTGGGGAGGGTGAGGAAATTTGAATAAGAGAGGGAGAAACACAAGTAGAAGGGCCAGATAGTGAAGTACAAGCTGCACCGGAAACAGAAGAGGCCACTGACTGGATAAGAGGGCTCGTGTTAGGGACAGTTGAAGAGGTAATAAGGTTGTGAGAGCAGTAACTAGAAGAATAGCTGGGATAAGTACACACAGGAGTAGCAGAGGACAAAGCTGGAGCACGTGACTTGTGATGCTGATCTTCCATACCTGCAATTCAATATGCAACACTAACTTTAGCATACAGCCCCTTTTACCAACAGATACATACACTCAATCCCTCTTAATTCAGCATGCATTTTATTTGGAATAAAGCAGCACTTTTTCCAGATGCTAAAATATGGAAATGATTTTTGGCATGTGCTGGAATAATCTCAAAAGTGTCTTCAAAGTACGTAAATAATAAAAAAATATGAAAACTTCCAATTTATTGAAAATTCACCCAACAAAATGTTTCAGTAGCTCTAAATTATATTAGAGAAAGCCTTGATGCTCTGTACTGTACTGGGGATTTTTGTGTATATATTGGAAATATCAGTTTCTTCTTTAATATACAAATTTCGGGATAATTTGTAAATTCTGTTATTATGCCGAATTAAAGGGGGTCAAGTGTTTATTTTTTGTTTTGTTTATATTATAACTCATGAGGAAATGGTTAAGAGATTGACAAACTTTAATAACAAATGTGGATATGTGATAAAACACTGATTCAATGTTGCTGTTGCACAGCTGATATGAGTCACTTACAAACATCCATATCCAGTGTGGGCTTTTCTGCTTCATTCATTGGGCGTGAAACAAATGTCTCGTAGACATTGTCAGTCATGTTGAATTCAGGGCCCATCATGGAAGATGCAATAATAAGCTCCTCACTGGAGTAGGGAGGCTTCGGCAAAGGATCAGCACCAGTTCTCTGGACATTCTTCCGGCAATTTACCGCTTCCTGCTTAACTCTTCAGAAAAATGAAAAGTAAATAGCAACCTTAGATACAAATTGGCGGTCTGCATTACCATATTTTTCCTTGTCAGAGTTATTTCCTTATATATTGCAGTAAAAAAATAAAATTTCTAGTGTAATCCTTGTGTTCTAAGCTAATAAACTTGAATACAATACTGTACACTAATATTCCACATAAAAGTGCTTTATGGCTCGAGTCAAAATATCAGGACTTTCGACCTATTCCCATTAATTGCATTTCCACATTCAAGGTGGAATAAAAAAATTTGAAATGGGTTATATATATATATATATATATATATATATATATATAAATCCACAATGGAAACGTGGATAAGATAAATCTTGATAAAATCTGCGGGAAAATGGAAACAACGGATTGCTTCAATGGTCTTTTTTCAAGACATCTTCAGAGGCCTCTGAAGATGTCTTGAATAAAATATATATATATATATATATATATATATATATATATATATATATATATATATATATATATATATATATCATGTAAATCCTATGAAAACATGGATAAGATATACTGTGGGGTATGCTATAACGAATGGATTCTACAGATATTCCTATAACGAGCGGTTTTACCTCTAAAATTGAGAATGCTATAATGAGCGAAACTCCTACAACAAACATTATTATTATTATAATTATTTTTTTTACTAATTTATTGGTTTTTATTACAATATTAATGCTATTCTTTATTTCAGGGTTTAGATGCATAATTATGCACTTTTACAATTTTACAATTTTATATTATATTTTTCGGTGTTAAGTGGTTGTATTTGGGGGCCTGGAGCGGATTAATCCTATAACGAGCGAATGCTATAATGAACTAGGTTCTAGAACCAATTAGATTCGTTATAGAACCCACTATATATATATATATATATATATATATATATATATATATATATATATATATATATATATATATATATATATATATATATTAGGGAATGGCCATTGGTCCAATACTGCTAAGACCATGGAAAAAAGAAATCATTGGTATGTAAATCCTAATATTAAAATGGACAATATTTAGAGGTAGCTCAAGTCAATTGAAGTTTTATCCTTTTGGCAAAAAATACGAATATTCATAATATGCCGGTTTATTTTAAAATTTACATATTGAGCAAGTTTATGTGTACACTGTACATATAAATGATTAATTCCTTTTTAAAATGAAACTGCAGTGAACACGCTTACATCAATGGGTGGGAGAGGTGTGGACAACCCATTCATTGTTTTCGCTTTTTGCTTGTAAGGTCCTGTTTTGATGTCCCTGGTTGTGACCGCCTCTGCTCTTCAACAACCTGCAGCAGATGTTGACGCTGGTCTTCACTCTTCGTGATCTTGCTGTTGAATGCCTGTATCAAGGCAATCCCTCTCTCTGCAGTGTCGTTGATGACTCTGAGACCACCCACAACTGCGACGCCAGTTTTGAAGTCTTCATCATCAGACCATGTGTCAGGTTCCTTGGACAAAAAAGAAGTCTTCATTTTGAGACTTTCAAATAGAAAGTTTGATCCTCTAGAAGCAAAGTCTGAGAGCTGCTTTGTGGGAAGGGAAGATGTGGCAGGAAGAGCAGCACGTTTTGGTGAATCCTCGGTCGCCTTCCTCTCAACGATTGCCCGAACTATGTTTGTCTTCATTGTTGCATTAACTTGTGGATCGAAGAGTGCAAGACCCACCAAGCCTTCACTGAGGTACCACAGGTGACGACCGAAGACTGTGAGACATGTTCTTGATATTTTGACGTCGTGGTACTCTGACAGGTCTTGGAGGAGCCGCAAATCATTAGCAGGAGCGGAGGATGGAACGGAGGCCGTGAACCATGCACTGACATACACCTCTAGCACAAAGAATGTGAATCGTTTCAAGCCTAATGTCTCACGAGCAGTTAGTTTAAACTGATTAGCAAAAATCAGGATCTTCATGACATAAATGAGCTTAGCCATCCACCGTGCTCGGTGAAGTGCTCCGGGCCGTCGGAGATTAAACTTGGGTAGAGCTCCATCGAGACACCTGATTGCTAGCTCCAGTACCTCACGGTAATCATCACGTGGCTGCTGCTTCTTGCCCAGATGATGTTTCCAGCAACAGATGAGGTCATCTCGTTTCTCGTACAAACTTGGAGGGAGGTCTGAGAGAGGGCTGTAGTCATCTTGACTGATGTCCTTCCACTTATGCTTGAAGCGAGAGAAGAGAGTATTATCTGGTCCAGAGGAAGGCCCCATGCATTCCACATACGCTTTCTCGGCAACAAGCTCAAGGATGTGGTGACGACACGCGAGATGCAGAAGACGGCGGCCGAGTTTCTGCTCCAGAATGACACATGCCCCCGACAAGTGCCCAGTGTTTGAAGCTGTTGTGTCAAAACTGAGTGCTGAAACATTCTCTGATATTTTCCACTCTTCCAGCGCTGCACTGACTGCTGTAGCAATGGCCTGTCCAGTCCCTGACAATAGTTTTGGGACACCAAGCAGCTTTTCAGTATTGATTCCGGAGACAAGAATGGCGATTCGGTCAACACTCGCTCCTTGTTCATCAGGAATAATTTTTCCATCCCAGTGCACAGTGAGCACTTCACTAGGTTGAAATTTTTCTTTAATTTCGTTGGCAATCCCAGAACGGTGGGTCGCTCGCGAAGTACGCACTGTCTCATAGTTTAAAACTAGTTCCATTGGGTCATGACCTAGACTAGCAGCCGTGGCACTGACGATCCGGAGAGCAGAGCGGTGACTGATCCCAGTGCGGTCCAATGTACTTGACAATTCAGGGGTGATAACTTTGAGAGTAGCACGCAACAAGAGCGACGCACACACACCCACCGTCACGTCTCACACACAACTGATGCTACTGTACCAGTCAGACACTGGCACACAACCTCTTCCCCCTACCCCGACTGACACCCGCCTCTCCCTCCCCTCTGCATTGCCAATAGCTGCACCAGCCAAAATACTCATTACTCATTTTTAGAAAAAATGTTAGGAACAACTTTAGTTTGAATTTGCATTCTACATATACCTGCAAAGTTTCATAGTAATCGGTTCATAAATAAAGAAATTAGAAAAAATCAATAATAATTTCAGTAGTGTTAACTTCAAATGGCTTGAGCCACCTCTAAATATTGTCCAAATGACCCAGGATTTCGCCTGTGTTCTTTTTTCATGGGTACGCAGTATTGGACAAATGGCCATCTAAAAATAAAAACTTTCACTTTTTATTGTCACCCTATATATATATATATATATATATATATATATATATATATATATATATATATATATATATATATATATATATATACACCTGTGAGTGCACTCAGATTGACTAATGGTCCATTACCGGTAAACAATATGAGAACTGTATTAGACTGTGACTCTGGCGGTATTTGGCATTTATTTCGCCGTGAATCGATCGTTGTGTAGCTGTAAAACATATCTAACTGTATTTATATCGTCCAGGGAAACTTATCATTATAAAAGAGGCGACATTTACTTGAACCTAATAGAACCTGACCAAACCAGCCAAAGAAACCTACCTAACTTCCTAGCTGAGGGGCCCCTGTCATATTAAACAGAAAGTATCTAGCCAATCAGAGCGCATTCACGGTAAAATAGCATTAGTAGGAACTTAGTCTGTCATGGCAAAATATCTGCCACTAAATAAAAAAAATACTAATAATTCAAATAAATTGGTGTTGCTGCATTTAAATTTTTTTTTATAATGATAAGAACATCTGTGGAAAAAAAAATAACTCTTTCTGGTGGTAGCACTTCAGTTCTCATAAATAAACAAACTCATTACTGAAACTTACATAGGATCACCTGAAGAACCCTCACCCCAGAGTGTTCACCTGAAGAATCATCACCCTGCCCACATCCAAAACAGTATTAGCTTTATAGGGTCTTTTAATATTAGTGCTCCGTTCTATCTAACATACTACCTAATCAGGGGGGCTCTGCACCCCCCTGGACCCTCCTGATTAGATTAGGTTTGGTTGGTTTTTGGTGATTTTCCATTTTTTTCATATATTTCTAATACCTAAAGAAAGAACGGTGCATTACTATAAACTGACCACGCTATAGGTTAAGTTAGGTTAAATTTGGTTAGAACTTCACCTGAAAAGTAGGCGCCTTGTCAAATTCTGGGGTGACGACTCTTAGGTGACGCCTTATACAATATACATAGCCCTATTTGATATTAAAGTGAAGATTCTTACTTTCTTTTGATATGTTCAAAACTCCTTTTGAGCTGTAAGATGGACCGCTGCTCCAGGAGCGTGTTCATGTTGTTGAATTCAACAGCAATGTTCTCCCATGCTACCTCCTTCTTTCCGCAAATTCCAGGACCTGTAGACTTGCTTTGGGTAATGTGTTCCCGCTCCTTGATTAACTTGAGGAGCATTATTCGTTGTTTTTCCATGAGTGGGGCAGCGCGATCTTTGTTTTCCATACTGTGGATGGCTGTTGTATATGTATATCCGGGTATATCCCTGATCCTCTCAGTAGGTGCATGCGGTTAAAAAAATATAAGGTTATTGTAGTGAATAAAGCAGGAGACACATCAGTACGATTCAGAGGCGAGAGTAAGGCTTCTGCATTGAGCTGGATTATGGGCCGTATTCTCAGTCCTCTCAGTGTTGATTTGTATCGACATTGGACCATTATTCATAAGTCGTTAACACTGCCCGACCGTCGTATGTGAGCCAAATGAAAGAACTGCCATCGTGTACACTATACTGTCGTATCCCGATGGTCGCTCTGCAAGAAAGACCGATTCATTATTGGTACGTCGGCGACTTCCCTGGCTGCTCTCGCACAATTTTTTTTATTTTCTATAACTATTTATTTAATTCTTGTATTCCTTCTGCTCCTCACCTCAGTAAATTGCTAGCCTATATGTTTATGATTACTTAATTGCTTTTACACTGACACTGGCAGCAAAATCATAATAAAGAGAGGAAGAAGGTGATTGTTAATAATAATAATAATAATAATAATAATAATAATAATAATAATAATAATAATAATAATAATAATAATAATAATAAAATTTAATAAGAATAGGAATATCATAAAAATATTGATTACATGAGAAATTCAAGTAGCTCACTGAAAGATAGGATTATTTGGGTAAGATACTGATAAAGTTTGGGCTCATATCTCGCATCGTCAATACCTGACCTTAGTTTAGAGTTTAGACTATTATGTCTTACAACACGAATAGATTTTAGAATAGTGCCCGGTGTAGCAGTTAAAAGTGAGGCGTTAGGTAAAAATGAAGTGCCAGACGAACGACTCATTGGGACAGCAGTCAGTTGGCATCAGTAAGTCTCAGTCTCAGTTGAGGTCAGTTCCGCTAAGTTGATGGACATGTATTCCTGACACGTACGTGCTTAGACGTTTGGTATTGCTTAGATCATATTATTTTAAATGCAGTTTAGAAAGTTTTACCCTAAGATCAGGATGTTGTGTGGATGATATATTAAAACAGCGGCAACTCCTGGTATGCTGTGGCGTCATCAACCGTGCGTGAGCAGTTGTCTCGGTCTTCGGCTGCTTCTGGTCTCGGGCAACTTATAGTCCGTTACCGTACTCCGGTAGTGTGAACTGTTACGAAACTTAAAATTACGTACTACACCGCGCTTCTGTCACTAGATGGTGAGTTTATATTTTTTCTCTTTTATCCTCTTCACCACTGGGCGATCGGGCTGTCACGCACTGTTGGCATGCACTGGCTTTGCTGGATGTATCTGACCCTGCTCCAGTGTTGGTCAAGCGGTCTTGTAACAGCTCACACTCGGTTCCGTCACAACACTGGCAGATTGTTCCAAGAGTTCACAACTATCACCCCGAAAAAGTTACCCCTCACAGTTTTCTGGGCCTGCGGCTTCAACCCAGGTACAGGTAAAATTGTCATTTCGGTCATGTAGCCTATTTTAGGATTCTAAGTTTTGGAATCAGTTCAGCTAGACTGCACAGTCTTTTAGATATTTGCCTTTTTTGGGGCGATGAACTGTAAAAGCACTGCAGTATAGCTTATCAAAGAACATTTTCATGTGACAAACTTACGAGAGTTTTTGGTCAATTTATAGTACTGTATCACCGGGTTTTATTTCGCTATTAAGAATAGGTTTTTCCTATGTATTTTGATGAGTTTTGAACGAATTTGATAATCATTTCCACCGGAAATCACGTGTTTTTAAAATCCCCCCCTCCCTCATCCAACAATCATAATGGAAAACGTTGGATTTCTTTTTTAGAACAAATAAAAATTATATTACCAACCAGCCAAGAAAACCTAACCTAACCCATTGTCATGCCCCAGACGCTTAAAGAGCGAAGATGGAGGCCTGGAGCGACGCGTGAGCAGGGGGTCAGACCACCTCCGCCCAAGTAAACAAATCACTCCAGTTGTGACTGAGCGAAAGTAATATTCTTGAATAATTGATATCTCGGTTATCCTTAATTTTCGGTGGAAATATCATAGAAGAAAAATGTCTTGGAATTGTGTAAACATTACGAGATACATATTTTTAATGCAGAAATGAAGACCGGTGTGATACTATAAATTCACCGTGTTTGTGGACATCAGACACTGCAAGTTCTAAAAGGTGATTTGCACAGTGCCACACAATCAGATGCAGAAACATTGCTATCAGTTTGGTTCCAACACCAGCATTCCTGCCCAATATATTAGATGCACCTTCACAGTCAAAAGACACCCAACATAAGACTAAAACTCTGTGGTAATGCAAAGATCTTCTAGTCTTGCAAGTAGAACATCCAATTTTTGCAGCAGTGGTTATAATAAGCTCAACAAGTTCTAAAATGCACTCGTGGCTGCATTTGCTCCTGGAAAATAAACATACAAATAATCAATGCTGTCTTTTTACTTATTGATAATAATTCATCAATAATAACACCAATCTTGAGTTTTTTGCAAACAATTTCAGTCACTAATTTCTCTCTCATAGCAATAGCAATGTGAACACTAATGTCTGCACAAGACTAATCACTGTGTAAAACGCATCCCATATCACCTCCATTAAGCACCTGAAGATCTGTGAGGTAGGGCAAGTCACCGATGGATATCCAGTCTTGCATATACTGTAAGCAATTCGAAATACTTGTACAATGTACTCGGCAGATAGATTCTAAGCATGACAAATTTTGTTTTGCTACGATGTTTTCTAAAGCTTTGTTTGAAGCTGCTGATGTTATTTTTTGTGCATTTTTTTTTTATATTTTGTTTCTTAATTGTTGTGTTTTCTTTGTTCACCGTAGCTTCCACACTGCCACCTTGCCATTCACAGCATATAGCTAATTCTTGTGTTTTGTCAACGCATAAAGTTGAAATATTCTTACACATTCACACGAAAACCAAGTTTAACTTGTCTTGTATAAAGCCACCCATATTCCTTTGGGATATCATTCAACTCCTAATTAGGTACAGTCTTGGTTGGCTTTGCAGTGCTTGCATCAATTTATTTGTTTTGTTCCTGTACATATAGTATCTGTTTTGTGAAAACCAAACATGAACCTGACATCAGCCAACAGGCAAGCACTGATGTCCTCACGTCACCGTATAAATGTAGCAACTAATTCCACCGTTAAGCCCGTGTTCACTGTGGTGTTGTAGTTGTAACCTGTCAGTTTCCAATATGTTTCTTTTGATGATTGCAAAACTTTTACTGTATTCATTTAACTAGAAAATATTTTGTGTACGTTCTTACTACGTCCCAAACACTACTCTACTAGTTTACAAGGTGGAGTGATTCGCAAACAGCTGGTCGTAAGACAGAAAAGTTTGAAATCGAGACAGAGCAGGTCTAATACAGACCCAACCAACTTATATGATAAATTATCCGTAACTTGTGACACTACCCACAGGTCACACTAATTACAAGTCTCACACAACAACCACAGGCCACAGTACCCACAGGTCACACTACTGATGGTTATAAATATTAAGTACCTTATATATCCGTGTATTATTACTCCAAAAGTTATCAAGCTGTTACCGTAATGTGCGATAATAATCATAATGTTCTTTGTACTCATGCACTGCAAGGTGATGATTATCCACAAGAAGTGAGGGTATGCAAATGGTCAAATTGGAGAAGTGGGGGGTATGTGTACCCCTACGTTACCTTCCATTTCGAGCACTGGTTTTAACTCTACATTTTCCCTCATCTTCAAATCTCTGCCCACTTTGTAAGAAAGCATTGTTGGTAGTGGGTCATATTTCCATACTGTATATAATTCAGCGATGAAATTAAAGGTACTGTACTGTACGTGTACCCATATATTAAGAATTTCCAGCCCATATCATCCATGGTGTAACAATGCTGGCAGTACTGGATTGGAAATTACGGTTAGGATTGAGTCATATTTGGATGTCAAAATTGTGAATTTGAAGATGACAGAAAAAAAGATCCGTGTTTTGCAGGATAACTGTAAATTTGTAATACTTTGTTTATTTTGCCATTGTTTGCCAAATGATTGCCTCTGTTTTTATGTCATTGCAGATAAAGTTAGAACACCCATAATTATGGCCAAACAGAATAAGGAGGTGAAGGTGAAGATTGTGGATGGGAACTTTGGTACAATGTGTATATATGATGACGAAATATTTTTCAATCCACCACTGTATCAGCAGCGCTACCAGAAAGTTAAGGACAAGATTACCTCTGTTAGTAAAGGAACATTTACTAAGGTAAGATTTGCTAAAGATCCTAAAATTTGTCACCTTTGCTGTAAGAATCCCACATGAACTTGTATTTTCTATTGTTTATGTTTCTCTGCATGTAGAGAATTTGATAAAATGCACTGAAACCTTTCAGTTTATCATTCTTGCTTCTCATCATCTTATATTTATAGAGACCTTCCTTCAGTTACTGTACCAGTCTTTAGCATCAGAAACTTCTTGACATTTAAGTGTATGGGAGCAGTGTGTACACTACAGTATTTGAGTTATTTAAACTGGAAAAATTAGGAAGATTTGGATGAACAGATACTACACATAGTTCAGGCTCTGCTATAGTGTACAAGTTCATTTTTGCTTGGACCAAAATTTTTATAAGCAGGGGAAGTTTTTGTTAAATGAAAAAGAGGTGTCAATTTAGGAAATATGTATCTCGAACGTTCATTAAGCGAGGGATGCCGTACTCTAGTAGGCTACAGGAAAATTTTCTGACTAGGCTTTTAAGTTTCTTCTTTGTAATTTTTATTTATCGGTAAATTTTAATAATTCTGTGTACAGTATAACAAAATTGTGTTTTAGTTTTATAGTAAGTGTATAAAAATTGTCTTCATGTGCCCGGCAATTCACATAGGTAATGCAAAAAAAATATTTGAACTAGCTATGAAATATCTTCCTTGTAATTTATTCACTTGTCGTAAATGTTAACAGACCAAACAAATATTATCTGGTTGTACATACTGTAAGTTGCTATGTTCTGTTGGTGTGAAGCTGTTTCTTTCAATGGTTGTAAGACATTTATTAGCCCGCTGAGGTTCCTTCGGAAACAAAAACACTTGAACTTATGGTTCGCTTTTCTGATTTCCTTTGTACCTCAGAATAGCACATTTAAATGACATCTTAGCATGTTAATATAAATTTATTGCCACACATGTACAATCACTGGCCTTGACTGGGTGCTTAGAACAGCCAAGGATACTAGAATACCAGACTGCAGTGTTAAAATCGTGCACACATATGAGCTTCTTGTGTTTGCGCTGGTGACGCACAACACATACATGAAAATGATGATGTCACTTACTTTGGCATAACTATGTTGATATGGTTATATGTCTCATACTTGTATACAATACCAAGCATGCATCCCACTGACGTGCATGCATTGAGAGATGGCTAGTGTAAACTGTAGGCTTTAATTTGTATATTTGTAATATCAATAGTGCTTTGGTTGCTTAGGTTGAGTGTGCGTAGTTTTGTGTTTACTTTGAAATGTTTTGTTAACTTTTGATGTTACTTTGATTGTATTGGTAATGGATGTGCTGCCTTTATTGAAAACAGAAGGATCTTCCGTACACGTGAAAGGAAATATGTGTGCAACTGGCATAAGAAGTGTGATTTATGGCAGTGAAACATGGGCAGTTGCTGAGGATGACAGATGTAGGCTTGAGTGAACTGAATTGAAAATGTTGAACTAGATGTGCAATGTAACATTGAAAGACAGGGAACCCATTTGAAAGGTAAGAGGGCAGCTGGGTATTGAGAGTACTGTAGTGGTTAGACTAAACCAGGCTGAAGTGATTTGGGTTTGTGGAAAGGTGGATGAATCTAAATGTGGAAGGGAGGAGAGCCAGGGGCAGACCAAAAATCTGATAAGAAAGACTGCAAGATAACACAGCATGGACAGTTGCAATCAGGGTAATCATGGCAAACTTGGAAAATGCCCATAAAACATTGTTGTTGTTGATTCTGTAAATTTCCTAAATACTTTTCAACATCTTTTATAAATAGTTTATTTGTGTGAGGCCACTGTACAGTATCTTAGTACTGTACTGTAATATCTTTAAATTGTTATTATGAAATTGAATCTGTTTCTTAAACTATTTTTATTACAGATTATTATCATTTTAAAATGATTTTGGTAATTTCAGGTAGTGGATGTGGGAGATCCAAAACTTCAATTTTTTCAGTATTTGCAAGCTATACCTGGAGTACGGGAAATTGTGTTCCTTGACAAAGATGACAAAACTCTGAAGGTGAATATATAACTGAATTGCAGTTAGAATTGCTTTTTTTATATATATATATAACTTGGCATCAGTCCAAGCATATCCATGTATCATATGCCATTAAGTCTATTAATTCCATCTGAGGCTTAAACCCTCAACACTGATGACTGGCACCAGTGTACAATCAGCCTAGGAAGTGGTATCACTGTTTTCAGTACGATGTGCCCAAACATCAGTATCCGGTAACTGCAGTACATCTAAAGGCTGGTGAGAGCCATTACTCCATTAGTGACCTTTAACATATGATGAGTAACTATGGTTGAGAAAGTATGAAGAGTGACTGTGGTTGAGACAGTGTGAAGAGTGACTGGTTGTGATAAAGGATGCAGGGAGGTAGGAGTCACAACATTTTTAAAATGGTTTTATAAGTTGGCCAACTCTTCAGAGAAACTTGTTTGAGCTAAAGAGTTATACAGCTTGCTTAAGTGTAGTTGGCTAAAGAAGTTAATGTTAACTTTTTTACCTAAGATTGATGTGTCTACAGTCTGTAGGCACTTCATCTTTCCTTCACCCAAAAGGGACACCACAACTAAGTCCATGATTTATTATTTTCTTTTTCCCACTGTAACCGAACCCTTCAGTGGATAGGAGTAAATCAAGACTGACATGGAGCAAGGTTGTATGAAATGACCTCAGAGATAAGAACGGATGAGGGAGGCTGCAAGAGAACTGCACGCCTTGAACAGCTGCCATCGGGTAATGTCGGCTAACCCCCACACAATGGAAAATGGTTATAAAACAGTGATGACTATGAAAAAAAAATTTCAATATGGAATTTCCAATTTCATGAGCTTTTTTCTTTTTTCTTTTCCTATTCAGGATTGTGATTACCGCATCAACCCTCTGAACACTGACCTATATATTTTACGCGAGCTCCCCCTTAATGTGAAGGCCGTGTGTGGGGATGTGACAAAGTATGATCCTACTTTATTTGGAAGTCAGGTTGTCACCATGATTGAACTGTAAGTTGTACGTTTTGTTTTGAATAGTAAGATGTTTTGTTATGGCTTTTTTATTACCCGGTATTTTTAAATTGTTTACATACTGTATGTGATGGATTATGTATGGGTTTTTGGAGGGTGGCCGGTCCCTAACCCCATGAATTTATGTTCTTATGGGATTAATTAATTTGATAACCGTTGATTCACTAACCAACAACTTTTCCCTGTCCCTATATGTGTCAGTTATTGTGATACATCTACTGTATATACATAAATTTCCACCCATGGTTAAAGATCTGGTATACAGTTAATAAACTAAGGACACTTTCATCTTCAATTACAAATATATGATCTCAATTATAATTACATACCGTGGTGGGTGTGTAAGCCGTGATGTCCCGTTACGCATTTAAAGCCCAGTAACCCACCACCTCATAACACATTTACTTCCCACATATGCTCTTTATTTTTGGTATTTTATAGTTTTATGTTATATTTTCCATATTTCTAAGCCAGATTAGAATATTGTAATGATTTTTTCACAACTTTTATAGTTTTATTACAAGTAATAATATAAGAGGCTGCTGGGCTGGCAAGTTGGCCATATGGTTTATAGCCAAGGCCTTGGCTAGAACCACCTCCATACACATTCACTCCTCACACTTATACGTACATACCCACGCTCTTCATTTTCTTGTTTTATATCATATTTTCTTTATTTCTAAGCCACATTAGAGTATTGTAATTATTTTATGACAAATTATATACTTTCACTAAAAGTAACAAGGCATGCAGCAGCTAGCCTGGTGAATCCGAGACATAGTTATATCCCACCACCTACACACACATACACACCCAGGCTCTTCAATTTTCTTATTTTATAATTTTATATTATAATTTCTTTATTTTTAAGCCACATAGTTTATATAGAGTAGAATAATTGTTAAGGAAGTACGTTTTTCTGAAACGCATGCCAGTCAGCTGTGGCCTGCAAAAGATGGTGATGCATGTTGACATTGTTACATATAATGAAACTATACAAGATGTGGAAAAATTATTCAATGCAGTACTCTAATGTGAGTTAGAAATAAAGAAAATATAATATAAACTATAAAATAAGAAATATAAAGAGTATGGGTGTGTATTCTGTGTGGGAGGTGATTGTAAGTGTGGAATCAGTGGGCAGTTTGTCAACAGCACATCTGGTGACTCGGCTGGTTAGGCCTATTTTAGTTCAAATGCGCACCACACAACCACCTCTCCTGTAAGTTTACTTTATCCTATTTGCCACTGATTGTCAATTTAATTTCAGCAGAGAATATTTAGAAAAAATAATGAAAGCATAAAAAAAGCAAAAATTAAACAAGATAGTGCACACACTGCATCGCAGCTCATGGGGATGTGCTGCCTCTGCTGACTGACCCTTAGCAACTGTTGCTAGGGGTCAGTTGGCAGAGGCACACAACTCAAACCTCCTCCCTTGCCCAGTACATGCGGCAACTGAGGCCGAGAGAGGCGCAGTTGGAAGTATCTCCACCAGCCATGTGCTCCCACACTCACTGCATCATTTTTATTTTTTTTCCTAAGCCAAGGGTGTAAAGTTGAATGCACGTAAGTTAAATGCTCCTGAGATGCGACACGGCTGTACTGTAACCATAAGATTGTCAAATGTTTACCAATAGGAATGAACAAGTTGAAAGTAAAAAGTGTCAAAACTGCATAAATAATAATACAGTAAGTAAAGAGATACATTATGATGTACAAAACAGTACTGTATTAGTTTTACCTCTTTCTTACAAGAATAGCCTGAGACACTAGACTGCACCCCACTACCTAAGAACCCATCATGAAAAAAAAAAAATTATGACAAAAAAGTGCAGACAATGTTACTTATGTAAACACAGGTTGACCAGAAAAGGGAATGAATCTGGCTGTAAACTTGATGCTCATTGGCTGAAGAGCCACGAGATGCATCCGTGATGCTGATTGGTTGCTGGATAAGGTAGATTCGTTTCTCTGGCATGGAATAGAAATACACTTTCTCAAGCTCAAACACACATGGTCCACTGCCCTTTTTAAAATAATGGAAAATTACCAAGTGATAAAAATGAACCCACCAAATATAGACCATGTGTTTGTTTTGATAGAACATGGATAGACCTTTTGTGTACCACAGAAGAAAAATTTTTTGGTCTATAACAGACTCGTCACTGTTCAATGGAATGCCTCGTATTAAATAACTGGACTATAAGAATGTTTTATTATTAAAGCTTGTAGTTAATAAGGATATGATGGTAGATTAGTTAACTTGTGTAATATTGTTTCCCGATACAGAATTGAGCACCTTGAAATATCAGAGCTGCATGCACTAGTCAAGTGTGTGTTCCAAGCTGTAAGACCGAATTTGATAATCATAACTACTCCCAATGCTGACTTTAATAAATATTTTCCTGGCCATACTCCAGGTTCATTCAGACATTGGGATCACAAATTTGAATGGACAGCAGAGGAATTTCGTCATTGGTAAGTTTATAAATTTTATTTGGTAATGAGGAAGTTTAAAGTTTGTTTCTTGTATATTTCTTTACAACTAACTTTAAATGGGTTGGCTTAATACAGAGAGAGAGAGAGGGGGGGGGCTCTTTTATTATCATAGATTATTGTTTGAATGCCATGAAATACAGTAGTACTTATTTCTTGCCTTGAGCTGTTCACTGTAGAACATTAGCAGAGGGTTCCAGATTTTGAAGGTCCCCCAAATCCATAAAATCTGGTTTGATTTTTTTCTCCCTAGGCTGCTGGATTGTGGACAGTGAACCTATAGTTGGGATGAGGCAACTTGTCAACCCTTCCTTCTCTATTAAGGTTGCTGAGGTGTGATCCAGGTGGAATGTTTTTATGGCTAGTTATTGGTGTCTGACATCTTATACTGTGTCAGCTGGATGATTCTGTCTGATACATCCAGTTATGAAGAAAGCATTGCTCTTGTTTCCATTTGTTCTTGAATTATGATAAGCCTTGGTTTTATAAGGACATAGTTTTGCTAAGAAATGGTTTTTTTAGGACATGTATTTGCTAGGTTATGGTTTTGTTAAGAAATGGTTTTGTTAGGACATGGTTTTTCCAGGTCATGGCTTTGTTAAGAAAAGGTTTTGTTAGGACATGGTTTTACTAGGCCATGGCTTTGCTAGGACATGGTTTTGCTGGGATATTTTGTGATGGTTTTTAGTTGAACATAAGCTGTGTCCTGTTAAGGGGTTTCTGTATATAAAAGCCAAAGTAAGAAAATTAATTATAATATATATATTATTTTGCATTACTCTTGATATTTAATGTATGACGTTTAGTTCTTTAAAAGAAGATTTATGCGTCATCCTTTATATTAGAGTCTTAATAATAACTAGCTTAATTCTTCCATTCCCAGGTGCCAAGAACTTATAGAAGATAATAGCAGTTACTCGGTGGAATATTCTGGGTGTGGATTGGGACCTGATAACACCTATTGTACACAGATGGCTTTCTTTCTGCTGTCAACTGAATACCAAGAGGAATTATTATCATGCATTGTAAAAGAGCTTTTGAATATTGATGTAAAGGATCCCACTTGTTGTGAAGAACCTGTGAAAATGGGAGAAGTTACAGAGGGTGTAGCGCCCTCTGTTATAAGAGAGGATTCGTATAAAATAATTGCTGAATTTGATTTCCCTCTTGATATGCGCACTCAAGAGGAAAAGGACCGTGACTTCACTTTAGGTCGATTTTATTCACTAATAAACTACCTGTTAACAGGTGAACGAGATGATAAGCCACAGTTGAACTGGGGATTGATACCAGAAGACACAGAGTGTTCCCTTGATGACACAGAGTGTTCCCTTGATGATACAGACGATGAGCTCGTTTTTTTTATTGTACAATATATTAAAAATGATGAAGAAATCGTTGAAAAACAAAGGGATAACAATGGTAATGTTTTCTACATAGTGGATCATATGTATGCAGTGCTTCCTCTCAAACCTCTGACACAGTGGGTGAACATTGCAGCTGACCATGATATATCACACAGTCTTATAAGGTATAGTTGACTTTACTTCTTCATATAGAATAATTTTCTTTTTTTTTCTTTTTTTTTCTTTTAGGAATTGGATTATTTTTCTGCTTTGAAGCTTACAAATGATGAAGAAAGGCAAGTAAGATACTGTTATGTATTTGCATAAGAGTAATACAAATACCGTATACACTCCCAAAATAGTATTGCCCCCCTGGACCTGATGTATTTGGAAATGAACACCATAACAAGCACAGCAGTCTCAGTTCAGTTGGTATTTCTTATTGTGAGTTGCACCTTTCATTCTTTCTTCCTGCACCTGATAATCACCATGATATCTGCAGTATATCACCTATTCTCTACATAATGTAATGAAATAGAGTGAATTGTGATACCATATGCAAAACCAATAACATCATGAGTACCCCCGCTGATTTATGCACCTTAGATACTATTTGATAGTATGGGTTGCCAAACTTTGTTATGTTTTCATGAACCAAGGTTACATTGGAATCGTTTTGAATGAAATATGAAACACTGTGATCCGATATTACATTCTTTTGTAAATACCTGTACAGTGGTCCCTCGGTTAACGAGCACAATCCGTTCCAGCAGGTTGCTCGTTAACCGAAAAACTCGTTAACCGAAACCATTGTTTCAATGGGTTTTTGGGTAATTGGTTCCAGCTCACCGAAAATTGCCTAAATTCAACAAAAAAGGTAGAAAAGTACACTTACTTTGAGGTGTGTATGTAGAAGGCTCCTTGATGATGATGATGATGATGATGATGGGAATTAGAATGGGGGTTGAGGAGAAGGAAGAAGAGAAGGCATTGGGGTGGAAGAGAAGTCACCCCATGGCACCATTTCACCCATAAAATTTTAGTTCTCTTGGTGTATTTCAAGATTATTTTCTTTAAATCAACACTGCACTGCATTATATATTGTCAATATGTAAAATATATTTCAAAATGACCAATAATTTGCTTGGAAACACAGAAAAAAAGCGTTTAGTTGAAGAGAGTCTCAAGCAAGAGGTTACCTCCACTGAAAACAGAGACTAACGCCTGCCTGGTGTGTTAACAGGCTGGATGGCACGCCAGAAACTAGTTTCTTTACCTTCAATTGTGTTCAATAATTGTTAAAATGACTAAAAAAGTTAATATTAAACTTTTAAAATTATTGAATAGTATTAACTTCCTGATATTTACTAAAATAGTAAGGAATTTAAGCCCGAAAACCGATTACTGTATTGGCGGACTAATACTACAGCTGGTGGACCGCCAAATGCAAGCGAAAACATGTTGAAGTCGGCTCGTAAAAAACTCGTTAATCGTGGGATTGCTCGTTAACCGAAGTTAAGAATCTTATGGAAGGTAAATTGTTAACCGAAATCTCGTTAACTGAAGGACCACTGTATAGTAATTACAAGTGTATTACTGTATGATGCCATATCCAATTACAATGACATTATGATTTACTGCATTTCGATATTATTTCTACCTCAATTGATGAGGTAACAATTATGAATATAACGTACCATCTCATAATTCATGCTGGCAATGGAACATTAACTGATACACACTACGAGACGATGTCGTCAAGTCCTCCCATGGGATTGACCGTCACCCTGGAGACTTCACAGGCAACACGAGGCAGTATCATTGCCCTTCACGACATAGACCTAAGCTAACAAATATTGATTTACAGTTCCAGGTTTACTGTTATTCAGAAAGTGATATTTCTTCATGTCTGTCAGTGCAAGCTGTGTTTTCCAATGAGTCTCGGGTACTAGTGTTGGTCCTGGGTTTCCAGCAGAAAACACTCACTACTGTATTTGACTGCCGTTGATATATTTTTTATTACATTAATATCATTATTTTATTTTACTAAAGATGGAGCACGGTGATTCACCATAATTACTACAAATAGCAGAATTAATAACTGGCAACCTCACAGATACTAGGAAGGCAGACCTACCAACATAATGCAGGAATCACAATTAGTCATCTGAAATACAGCTTGTATTTGTCTAGTGTGACACTTTATATTGATGAGAAAGGGGGGCTGATACTTTTTTGGGAGAGTGTACAGTACAGTGCAGTACTTGTTTAAACCTTTGTGTTTAAAAATAGTATTATCCTTATTTTTAGAGTGAGAGTAAATGAAACTCTAAGGAAATAAAATTTATGAAATGATACCCAAACCAGAAATACACGAAGAAATTATTTAAAAAATGAGGATGTCATCATAAAGTATCTTACATACAGAAACTGTATACCCCGGTTTACGATTTCCCTATCTACAGTATTTTGCTTGAATGATGGCGTCGTATTAAGACCATCCCCCATTTATAATAAAAAAAATCCGCATGAATGATGGCAATCGTCTGGCCAGAGTGGAATATGGAACGTATCTCTTGGTGCACTTGTCTATCCACGTGCCGCCACATGGCCACCTGGTGCAATACAATCCCAAGCTTTGTTTCATGGTGATTGCACATGGCCATGATTATGTAGCTCAACGATTATCGGTGTTGTTACTTATCGTCAGTGTTTTTTAACCTTACAGTGAGGGGACATCACTAACGTTCATATTGTACTCTATTTTTGTGACTAAAGTGCTTTGCGTTCTGCTGTGAACATGCTATGAACAGTGGCAGCCACTGTCATTATTTTTGCATTATCATCGTTTGCTCTGTTTTTGTAACTGAAGTGAGCAGTGTAACTTTGAAAATATCGGGGAAGGCCAATGCACCCTGGAAAACCGTGTCTCTGGAGGCCAAGCTTGACATTATGAAGCTGTATGGGAGTCAGAGTGATGTCTCCACTCCACTTTCAAGAGTTCCCTTAGCCTCGAAGGGGGCATGTGTTGACAACCAGGCCTGTTCTTAATGATGTGGTGAGTGTTGTTTATTTGTGTTTTAGGAATAGTATTAGTGTAGGAATACTGGCATATTACCTGCACTGATACTACTACAGTACTGTATACCAGTATTCTCGCTGACACCAACTGTAGGAGCATCAAGGCTACCATTATCCTTGAACAACTACATTGGATTGGCCATGTTACCCAAGTGGACAACAGTAGACTGCCAAAGCAGCTACTTTACAGTAACCTAATGAATGATAAACGTAACACTGGCAGGTAACGGAAAAGTTATAAGGGCAGTCTTAAGACAAACCTGAATAAGTGCCAAATCGACCCCCTCATCTGGGAGACGATCACTCCACACTGTAATGCTTGGAGGAGCACCACACGGGAAGATGTCAATACTTTTGAGTTAGCCTGACTGCATACCGAGGCAGACAAGCACCAGTACTGGAAAAACGCTGCTGCTGCCCCTCCCACACTAGATGTAGCCCTCCATATGTGCAACCTCTGGATGCCCCCTTGAGTCACCTCAGAGCTCACCAACAAAGGTGACATCTTATTAACTCGCATCATTGTATCATTGCTGGATGATCATCATACTTGATTCCGAGTGACAGCAAAGCAGCAGCAGTAGTAGTAGTGTCGGAATTTTATTTTCAGTGATATGTGTGGGTGTCGGACTGGCTGATTAACATATCCCATTGAACCCCATGTTATAATGATCCAGATTTCTGATATTTTGACCAGTGATGGGATTTACAGGAATGTAACCACTATTGTAAACAAGGGATACCTGTACTTGTGTTATTTTTCTGTAAATTTTTCCACATTTTAACCATTATCTTTAACATAAGTTTGAGTTATACCAGTTACATAGTTTTACAGGTGCAAGTACAGTATTTTCTCAATTTAACGAACTAATTCGAGCAACCCCTTTCCGTTAAATTTCTGCTAAATCGAATTTCCGTTTTTTTCGCACGATTTAGTGAATTAGTTTGCTAAATTGAGCGTGATTCCGTTAAATTCCGCACCAAATGAGCAGCTTGGCACTTAGGTTTGTTTACATCCACTCAGTCTGTGTTCTGCCTCCACCCCGTGTGTTGTTCACTGCTACCTCTCGGTCAAGTAACTACTGTGCTCAGACATCGTGCTGAAAGTCCCTTAGAAGTCTCAAAAAGGAAGTGGAGTGGGGGAGAAAGCCAAAAGAGTGCAGCTATCAATTAGATAAAGTTTGGAAAAAATTGAAAACAAACATCGAATCACCTTCATTATATTTTCTTTACTGTTTTTCCAGTATGACTGTGGCAGGTGACTGCTTTGAAATTACTGGTAGTGGTGCAGACTGGCAAGGAAGGGTACACCTTGTTACCCTTTCTGCTACATCTTCAGATGAATCTTTTGAAAAATCTTTAGAAGATAATGACGAGGACCAAGATGAGTGGTTTCCTAATGACGAACATTGTGAACATATGAATAAGCAAGTTGTTGGTTTTAGTAACAATGAAAACACTACAGTTAACCCTGAAGCTGATGACTACTGGGATGTACCAGTTGATCCCAATGACCCAATTTGGAATTAAATGTCAAAGAGCTGGAAAATTATTTGTCTAGTTCTGGCTAAGACTTTATATATATATATATATATATATATATATATATATATATATATATATATATATATATATATATATATATATATATATATATATATATATATATATATATATATATATATATATATATATTCCTCTTAAAATGGGTGTTTTGAGTCCTTTGGTAATTTCAGCTGGTATAAAAATGAAGGTTGTGTTTCTTACCTTTTTTTTGGCGGATATTTTTCCTGACAAATTAAGGCCTGTGATTATATCACTGTAATTCATAAATTGAATGGAAAATAATTACAGTAATGTCTGTTTAATATTTAGCAAACAAAACTATAAGAGGATTTTGTCATCTACTGTATTTTACAAGATGTTTGAAATGCAAATTAAACTTATGGTACAGTCTCGTTCAAGATTCTTCGAACACTGCTGGTGACAGCTGGCAACTCAAGGCCGTTTGTTTACTATAATACGTAGCATAATATAATACGAAACAACAAAGCCCAACCATTAGTTAAGCAACAGGGAACTAAGTAACCAATCACCGATAACCTTTTACATTCATTCATAATTTTAACTACGTACTATAGTAAACAAACGGCCTTGAGTTGCCAGCTGTCTCCAGCAGTGTTCGAAGAATCTTGAACGAGACTGTACACTACTTCCTTACATGGGTACAATGCTGTACTACTGTACTTGTGTTTCTAAACTGCCACACAACATTGTATCTATACTGTTGCCAAATAAGTTTCTTCCTGTATTCCAAATCTTTCTCAACTATGTAAAGGAGTTGAAATCCTGTTTAGAAACAGTTGCTATATTGGAATTTAAATGTTTTCTCTTTCTTAATGTCACTGAAAAATGGCATACAAAAGTTTGCATGTGTGGACGTGTTTGGGAACATGTACTGATGATCAGTCAACCAAGAGCTTGAGATTTGTTGTTGTGTTTCTTTGTAAATAGATGATCAGTGTACAGTAGTTCATTTTACTTTAGCTTGATTTATAATGTGGAAAAGTGAAAAGTCACTGAAATTAATTACTTTGTGTTACACTCATATGATGTTTATTGTACTTACAGTAGTTTAATTTACTAATTTCAAAAGGTCAAATAGTATAACAGACTTACCTTCACAAACTCTTTCAGAGCATCTGTGAGAGCTTTACACACTTTTTGATTGATGATGTATTTAGTGTTTCTAATTCTTAAACACCTACATGACTGGTAAATGAGTCCCCCACGCGTGCTAATTTATTGTTGTAGGGACGGAAGCTCCATATTTTGTACACTATTCAGTTGCCAGATTTTTGGTCCCAATCACTTGCAGTAACATTTCAAAATCAGATGTTCTTGTCTGTAAAAAGTACTTAAATCTAGCTACATCCTCTAGTCTTAGTTGTGTAATAAGTTTATCTTTATTTTGTTCCTTCAAAAAAAAATCTTCATCTACCAACATTTAGGTCATCGCTTCACTTTTCGCATCGCAATACAATAACAACTTCAGCAGCAGCAGTCACATATCCACTGTCACATCACTTATATTAATTTCTATTCCCTGTATAACTTCTGGCAGGTCTGGACACGTAACAGTGTTTACCAATTGTACCGTATTAGTTTGGAAAGTCAACGGTCAAGACACAGAATCGCTTAACTGTAAAGATACAATGTTTCCAAACAAATTATCCAAGCTTGAACTTACCTTTACAAATACATACAACTTGATTCTTGTTTAAGTTATATATTAAGCTTAAAACTACACCTGACTTGATCCTTATTTAATTTATATATTGAACTTAAAACTACATCTGACTTGATTCTTATTTAATTTATATATAAAACTTAAAACTACACCTGACTTGATTCTTATTTTCCTTATTTACCTAATGGCCACTCACTCGAGGTGTATGATCCCTCTATCGGTCTTGATATTTTTGTCTTGGGCTGTTTTGAAGCCCAGTAGTGCTTGAGCTGGTAGATCATTTCATAGGTCTACCATCTTCTGTGTGAAGAAATATTTCCTGATGTTTGTTCTACATGATAACTTGGCAAGCTTGTAGTTATGTTCCTCTCGTGTTGGCGGTGTGTAACATCGCTAATTAATGGCCTGAGTTCTTGTTTTCCATCCCTTTCAAGAATTTGAATGCTTCAATGAGATTTGCCCTATTGTGCCTTGTCTGAAGTGGTAATGAGCATAACTCTAACCAATATGTCAAGGGTTCGAGCCTCTGCCCGGACACGTGAGAAGGGTGTTATCCAGTGTGACTCTACCAAATATCATAGGTTTCCCAGTCCCCAGTTTCTACCTGTACTAACTGGATAGACCAACGCCTGAAGGGCTAGTAAGCTGATAAGTGGCAAAAAGGACATAAAAAAAGGCCTTCAGTCTACTTGGATAATCAAGATGATATAGTTTCCAAAATCATTTTAGTCATTGTGCTGCTCCTTTTCTAGGGATGTTAGGTCCTTCTGGTGGTAGAGTTTCCATGCCTGTTCTGTATGCAGTAATGCAGACTGAGATGTACGTAAGATTTATCCTCTTTGTATTAGAAGGTATGATTTACAATTTCCATATATAGGTTTGCTATTCTCACTGCCTCCACTTGGGGTTCCTTCACAACAAGGTTTTTTTTTACTTGGTAGGTGGACTCTAGCTGTACCTAGGCTTAGGTGCCTTTCAGTTTACTGCAATGATGGAAGACTTCATCTTTTTTTTTCTTCTTTTTTTTATTACTTTTACCCTCTTCACCACTGATCGGCACGTCAGTCGCTTGGGCGATCGGTCACGTCTCTGGTATGCACTGGTTCCTGAATGTATCTGAACCTGCTCCAGTGCTGGTTAAGTCTGGTCTTGAAACAGCTCACACTCGATGCCGTCACATCACACTGGCAGATTGTTCCAAGAGTTCACAACTCTCACTACGAAAAAGTTTGCCCTCACAGTTTTCTGGACTTGTTGCTGCTTCAACCTTGAGCTGGGACACTCGACTAAGTAGTACTTCAGTTCATACACCTTAATTAAGTCACCCCTCGCCCATCTGTAGTATAAGCTAGGCAGTTGCATGCACTCTAATCTCTCTGGATAACTGGGGTGCCGAAGTGCAGGCACCAGTCTGGTGGCCCTCTTTTGGACATTTTCAGTCAACTGACAGGCCCTAGCATATTCAGACAGGGTGACTACTCCAGGCAGGGAAGCACCTCATTCTTGAAGATCGTCTAGGTATCTGAACGACCTTATAAGACCTACTAGTTTAGTTGCTGCAATAGGCTAGAACCCACAGAGACATTGACAATTTTGAAATTTATGGAAAGTGTGAACCCAGGCCATTTTTTTTAAATATCGTGCGCTACCAACACAAGGGGACAACTTCAAGATGTCATGCTGGATGAATACTTTTACGTTTTTAGGAAATACTTCTTCACACAGAAGGTGGTAGACCTATGGAACAGTCTACCAGCTCAAACTGTGGAATCAAGAACTATTTTGGGCTTCAAAATAGCCCTTGACAAGACCGCCAAGAACCATAGAGGGATTCTACACAGGCCAATGGCCTTCTCTAGACACCACCACCTCTAGTTTGAGTGGCCATAGGTTAAATATAAACTACGTTATATACTTTAAGTGGTTACCCATAATATAAATCCCGTTTTCTCTTATAAAAAAGAGAGACGAGTTGTATGGCTGACTGTGTTATTAATGATATTTTATTTTACTCATTTGTTCTCTTTACCTTTGGTCAGCTCGCTCGCAGATAGTGAGGCCGGGCAGTGCACTGTTACATATAGTTGACAAATACTGGATATGTATGGGCTCTTAAAAATATCCGATCATACGCCACTGTTGATCAAGTGGAGTCTTAAAGGAACTCGCACTTGGTGGGGCTGGGAATCACTCGCTGTTCCCATCTGACCATTCCTCTGGTTCCGCACTAACCTCCACTACTTTCCCCTTATATATAACCCACCAGAAGAGTTCGTCCTTGTTTTTTACCGAATCATCACACTTCTGCTTCTGGCTCATCAGGATTTCTTTGTACCGTTCACTTTGCATTACTGCGCGATCTGGACTTGCGAAAATGTCATCATGAACTCCTTTCAGAGCATCGGACATCATCTATCCAGGGCAAGGAACAGATAAGGTACGGAAGAAAAAAGAAAATTAATTGGTTTTGAACTGTTGGCTCTTAAAGCCACTTAAAACTATAGTAGTGTTTGGCTACACTACAGTTTCAGGAGAAGTCTAAAGTATATTTTGCTGTTCTTCTATTTTTAAAAATTAGGATCAAATTCAATTTGTTAAATTATTCTTTTCAAAATTAGGATAATATTAAAGCCTTTCCCTCTAGATCAGTACCGCAAAATTTCAACACTGCACTTTTACAGCCAATTTATAAATGCCACTCAATTTTAGAGTACAGTACCGCTTTAGAAGCCAACACATAATACAATAATACATATATAATTGGCTCCTTGTTGATTAATACATCATGCATCACATTTTACTCCCATAGACTAAGATTCCGCAAAACATTATTTGTTCGCCTATTATTGCAGAAATGTGTCAAATTGCAGCTGATTGCATTATTCATTTAGATATCAAATTTACACATATTTTTCACTATCATTCGTTTATATTATGATTCACCATTAAATTATCAATTACAAGTTGAATACTCCTTCCCTCGGGTCTCCTCATTCCACCTATGCATCAACTTTTTGTGGCGCTCCAATACATGGCATCTGGAGTCTTCCAGCTGAGCATGGGCGACTGTTGGGCCATCCCTCTGCCTTCGGCCAGCAGGTACCTCTCCAATGTGTCCTCGCTGTAGCTTGACTGACACTAAGATACATAAGGTTTCCTGCCACAGAGAGGATTTGCTGCACTTGCTAATATGTCAGGTGTCATTGGGTGTACAGTATACTGTCGATGTTACAGAATTGTTTGATCCAGAGTTGTATTGCTTCCGGAAAAAAAAATATTCTCATTGAACGTGATGGGTGTGTCCGAGGCAACTCTGAAGTTTACGAATTTGGTTATTAATTGGACAGGAAGTGTCCATTATGCCAAATATATTTTCAGTCACTGATGTATGTATATGTGTGAGTGTGGCCAGGTAGTGTCCATGATGCCAGATATATTTTCAGTCGTGTGTGTGTGTGTGTGTGCATGCGCGGGCAGGTGGTCATCAAGGATTTTTGCCTGGTCTTTTCCTTAGACCACACACATTCCTGTTACCTAGCAATGATAAGGAGAGGAGCTGCAATTCCTTTCCTATCATAACTAGGAGTATATCCCCCATACATCAAACTGAGTAAATCCTTTATCTACCAGGATGAGTCATTTTGTATACTTTCTAGCTTATGGCTGCTGCCCTTGCCAATAACCAGGTAATTATTACTATTATTAAACACATACACTCACACAAATAAACAAACACACACAAACATACCCACACGTTTTATACTATGTATATGTCTACAGTATAAATGAGTAATCAATTAGACAACTTTCAAATTTAACTTAAACAGTCAGGTGAACATGAATAACAATAATTGGAACATGCTTCTTGACACTCGACTTGATAAGGTAGAGAGTGATAAGATAGCAGTTATCGCAGGTCTTACACCAGCCGCCACTCTGACAGACAGCATTGCTAGTGTTGAGTCAGGGAGTACAGTATAGTGCAGAGTGTGGCAGAACGACGTTCCCCCACACACTGTAGTGTTCAACAACTCACTGGGCGCTGGCCGTGCGAGTCTCCTTATCACAACGCCATGACCACCACCTACAGGAAGGAACCAAACTTTCAACAACCCCTCGTGAGGGACATCAAGTACAACGTAAGTAAGGCAGCCACCGGCTCACATGACACGTTCACACAACCCTCATCTAGGTTCACTACTATCATAATATATAGGGCCTATTTATTTTTTCACTCTTGGGAATATTTCACACATTCAACCGTCTTGGTGTTTAATGCATTTATGAAAAACCATCTTGCATCATTAACCGTAATATCTGTGATACAAGCCTTCCCGCTCGATCCTTTCTGATAGTATGAAACTCGCGACATTTAATATATATATATATATATATATATATTCTCCATGTAATATTTGAACAGGAAATGTTACTCACTCTTAAGCATATCGAACTAATGGCAACATTATATTATTTGGCATTGGTGCAACAACAGTGACTTAGCTGCATCGTGTTCTTGAATAACTGGTGGAAACAAGTGTTTTTAATATCATACAAAATCCTTCAATTTCTTATTTATTAAATCACTTTACCTGAAGTCTTCCGCTACTATTATACACGTATTGATGGAGTGGTTCGTGTCAACGGAGTGTTACTGTGAGGTAGTGTGAGAGGACATAATACATGTCTGAGGCTTATCGTGAAAAGCAACAAGAAAAAAGTGTATGAATGAAAAGCAAACGGATCACTATCCCAACCTAACCTAACGCAACGTAACCTAATCTAACGTAACCAAACTTAACCTAACATTATAACTAAACCTATCCTGACCTAACCCTTTCTAATTTAAATATAACAACCTAACCTAATGCCCCGGTTACGTTAGGGTGGTTAATCTTAAGGTACAGTAAGATATGGGATGATCTAAACCAACTTTTCAGTATGTGATCACAGCAATGGGTTCATTTAGTGCACCTTAGATAATTGTTTTATTTTGTCAATTGTGTTGTGGTGACGAAATACACATCCTCCCTTACCACACTACCCTCCCTACCACAATACCTCCCCTACCACAATACCTCCCCTACCACACTACCTCCCCTTAGCACAATACTTACCCTACCATAGCATATCCCGCTTGGTCCATCACATACCTGGTCCATCACTCACCTGGTCCAACACACACCTGGTCCATCACACACCTGGTCCATCACACACCTAGTCCATCACACACCTGGTCCATCACACACCTGGTCCAACACACACCTGGTCCATCACACACCTGGTCGGTCCATCTCACACCTGGTCAGTCCATCACACACCTGGTCCATCACACACCTGGTCCATCACATACCTGGTCCATCACACACCTGGTCCATCACACCTGGTCACACCTGGTCCAACACACTGGTCCATCACACACCTGGTCCATCACATACCTGGTCCATCACACGCCTGGTCCATCACACACCTGGTCCATCACACGCCTGGTCCATCACACCTGGTCCAACACACACCTGGTCCATCACATACCTGGTCCATCACACCTGGTCCATCACACACCTGGTCCATCACATACCTGGTCCATCACACGCCTGGTCCATCACACACCTGGTCACACACCTGGTCCATCACAACACACACCTGGTCCATCACACACTGGTCCATCACACGCCTGGTCCAACACACCTGGTCCAACACACACCTGGTCCATCACACCTGGTCCATCCACCCTGGTCCGTCACGCCTGGTCCATCACACACCTGGTCCATCACACACCTGGTCCATCACACACCTGGTCCATCACACACCTGGGTCCATCACTCACCTGGTCCAACACACACCTGGTCCATCACATACCTGGTCCATCACACGCCTGGTCCATCACACACCTGGTCCATCACACGCCTGGTCCATCACATACCTGGTCCATCACACCTGGTCCCACCTGGTCCAACACACCTGGTCCATCACACACCTGGTCCACACACACACACCTGGTCAACACACACCTGGTCCATCACACACCTAGTCCATCACACACCTGGTCCATCGCATCTGGTCCATCACACGCCTGGTCCATCACACACCTGGTCACACCTGGTCCAACACACACCTGGTCCAACACACACCTGGTCCAACATACATCTGGTCCATCACACACCTGGTCCAACACACACCTGGTCCAACACACACCTGGTCCATCACACACCTGGTCCAACACACACCTGGTCCAACACACACCTGGTCCAACATACATCTGGTCCATCACACACCTGGTCCAACACACACCTGGTCCATCACACACCTGGTCCAACACACACCTGGTCCATCACACACCTGGTTCAATTACTGGACAAAACTGATGTACACAAATTGGGTGAACAAGATTGATGGAAGTTTTAATACATTTTTTTTTAATGGGTGTTAAGAGAATGTGTTTGATGTTAGTTAGGAGTTCTTTTATATCTTGAGTTGCAAGGAATATTGAACTTGGGACTTCAGAACACCTTGTACAGATTGTTAGGTCACATGAGGGCGTGGGTAGGTGTGTCAGCATCATCCACTGCAGCAGATCGTCAGCACTGGCTAGCTCCTCCCAGCTGAACCAAGTATATCTTCTGTTTTGGTCTTCTTTATCTCTGCCTACCAAACGATAGCCAGTCTACATGTTTACTAGTACAGCTTTTAACGCTATTTATCTGTACAAGACTAAATCACAAACACACTCACATGTGATTGTACGTAGGCCTACTGTACATTATGAGATATTTTTTTATTCCGGCACTATTATAATTATCAGCTGTGAGTGACGTAATAATATGGCGGTGTGTTCCTGAAAACCTTCAGCTCACCTCTACGTAGGAGAGAGTTAAGTCTATCACCATCTTAGCCTTGGCGTTCACCTCCACGCTGAGGCAGGTTGACGCCCCTGTGTATGTGTTTGGTGGCCATGGATACGGTCATCACCTTGTTTATTATTGCTGTCGACTCTTTTTCCGCTGAATAATGAAAATTACTCTGAACAGACATTCTTACGATACTTTGTCTTTGAAATTTAATACGTTTGTCACTATCAACAATTCACCGGAAATAATATGAAATAACTTTTTAGTTATACGTAATTTGTTACAATTCAATGTCCTTCACCTTCAACGTGACAACATTATCCCCTACCAAGCTTTATAAAAGATACTAGTCAACAAGTATCAAGACATTTGTTGGTAGTCAGTACAGATAACAGAGACGCAGTTCAGAACATTGTGAGGGCCTTGTTGGGGGGTGGGGAGTAGTCTCCAGCACGGGCTGCGTAGCGGAATATTTATTTGCGTAAAATTTTGTTAAATTTGATCAGAGGTGTCCTTAAAACTGATCCTGTTTACACCACATACTACCATCAACTAGGTTTAAATGCCATAACAAAATAAACCTTGACGTCACTGTGTGGTCGTAACGAAATACCGCCACATGACAGCTCAAGAAATTTGTTGACGTCATAATGTTGAAGGCCTTTAAGCGTGTAACAAGGGTTCGTAAATATATCAACAAGATCTTAAGACTTTTTTATTAATTACTCAAAATTTGCGACAAACTCACCAGATGACATGCGGCCAATCACAACTTAAAAAGGCAAAAAAATTTCGTTAATAAGTAGACATTTTCCAGAGGGCGGCATGTGTGAGTAATATCATTCATGAACCACCTAACTCTAAGCTGCTGTATACTAGCCTTTTTTTTTAATTAAATAGGTTAGATATAATCAAATTTAGTTTGGCTGGTTTGTTTTGCCGGTTGTAAAAGAAATTGCTTGGAATTTCTCGAGAAGGAAGTTATGAAAAAAAAAATGCTGCGGAGTGTGGGCCATTTACGAGGTACAAAACATAATTTCTTCTGTACAAATCTGTAAAATATCTTTATTTGGGTTAGGTGAAGAATGTAATACAGGTTACAATTTTACATACCCTACGTATACATAATTATTTTGGTTCAATGTTCTGGTACTATTCTTTTGTATTAGTGGTGGTCCAGTCCCCACCTCCAAGGCCTCGTTCCATCTGCTCGGTTATGTAAAAGAAAATGTGGGTTGAGTCAATCTGGATCAAAAGATTAGATAAAGATCGCTCAAGGAACACACACACACACACACACCCTCTTCCTTCCACCCTCTGTTACGTTATCTCTGGCAGTGTGTGTCACTTCCTTCGTAACAGCGCCCTGTGTGTTATGCAACTTTTCACTAATTTATCACATAAGACTTAGCTTTATATTATTTTTCATTTTTTGTTTTGTTTAGTCGACATATTTTGTTTTCTTCATTATAGAACGGAGTGGTGATGGGCGGGTTCACCAGGAGCTGCCAAAACATTGATGGAATTTAAGACCATGTAATGTCCCCACTCCATCTACTTCCACCATCAACCACTTCACTACCAACACACTACTATCAATACATCCATTACCATTACTACAACAACTACCACGTCTACTATTCGACAAACTCCCCCTCCTAAACACATAGTCGCACACACAGTTAGCACGACCATCATTCACCATCAACACACACACACACACACCTCTGCACTGCACATCTCCATACATCACCAAAACAACAATCACCACGTGAATGCAGAACTTGTGATGATAACTTTACACATGGTTGCAGGACTACGACGTGGAAAGCGGCATGAGCAAGAGGGTGAACTGTCTGGTGGGATTCACTGTGGTGTCAATCATCATAGGTGCCGCTGGCCTCGCCCTCTCCATCATGCTCCTTCTGCAGGTGAGTCTTCCCTCTTCTGGGTGCCTGAGAGAGTATATCTGCGTGTGGGGGGGGCGTAGGGGAGAAAGGAAGAGAGATAGAGAAAGGAGGTGAATTAAAGGATGTTAAAAGGGAAAGAGAGGAGATGAAGAGGGAAGAATGGGAGATAAAGAGGGAGAAGGAGTGAATGCAAAGGAAAGAGAGAAGGAGATGAAGAGGGAAGAGAGAACGAGAAAAAGAGGGAAAGTGGAGGACATAAAGAAGGAACGTGAAGGAGATAAAGAGGGAAGAAGAGGAGATAGAGAAGGAGAAAAAGAGATGGCTGAGACAGAGAGAGAAAGGAAGAAGGAAATAAAGAGAGAATGAGAGGTACAGTATACAGTGTGGAAGAAGAGGGTGTGAAAGCTATAGATAGATACATGAATATATATATATATATATATATATATATATATATATATATATATATATATATATATATATATATATATATATATATATATATATATATATATATATATATATATATATATATATATATAGAGAGAGAGAGAGAGAGAGAGAGAGAGAGAGAGAGAGAGAGAGAGAGAGAGAGAGAGAGAGAGAGAGAGAGAAAACATGAGTGATGAGGGCAGTAATACAATGTTGTTCACGGTGACAGGGGTCGCTGCTGTCAACCAAGGAGGGGGTGGACGTAGCAACCTTACAGCAACGGGTGAAACTCCTCGAGCGTCTGGTAGGTTCTGTCACCCTTCCCTGCTGTACTGTGTTGTAATGTGCTGTGCTGTACTGTGTTGTAATGTGCTTGTGTTGTACTGTGTTGTAATGTGCTTGTGTTTTAATGCGCTGTGCTGTGTTGTAATGTGCTGTGCTGTACTATGTTGTAATGTACTGCGATGTTTTGTGTGGTGGTGCTATGTTGCGAGAGGACTGTGGTGTGTGGTGGTGGGAAGTGAATTTAGAATTTTAACGCGGTAGCAGCTACTTTTTTGTGCATCCCCATACTCATCCTGTGAACGGTAGTGCGATAGGATACAGGGCAGAGGTCACGAAGGGTCTTGTATTGAATATTACATAATAGGTGAGTTATCTACTTGGTGTAAAATGTCGATACTGTATAGTCATCGGGTATCAGCTCTCTCACCTTCACAAATAAGAGCTTTGGTATTGCTTGCAGAATGTGCTTGAGCTCTTGATCTGTTCCTAATAGGTTCTAATTTCTCACGTCATGCGTTTAGAAGTCTATGTTGAAGGGAATCCACAACAACATGGTCTTTATAGGGGAGGTATATATATTTGTCAGTCGTTTAGGCAGTTACATGGGTGTTGAAATAACGGAGTGTACTGTTGTGTCTCAGGTTTGTAAAGATTATCTTGGCCAAACTTCTTCATAGTTATGTGTAGGATCCATTACATTCATATATTCAGTGACTAGTCTAACGTGTTCTCGCAGTTTTATTAGACACTATTATCTGGATACTCACACAAGAGCCTTGAAATGCTATCATGGTGGTGGCATAAATTATTCTGTCTTTGACACTGGGTATTCCCAGTTCTTTCCTCAAGTTAAATACATAAGTGCTCATGAAACACTAAACACATGGACTTTTGGTGAATGTGGATCATGCGCCTCTGGCACTGTTTTTCATGGCTTTCACTTTATTGTTATATTTCTGTGTTGCTTGATGAAGTTTTATTTGACATTTTTGGCTCACCAACTTTTCTCTTGAGTACATTTTTAGTTGCAACCCGTACTCCGTACGTGTATGGCAGCATAAGTTCTTGGTTTTGAACTTCCTATTTTTGTTTTATTCTGATTATCCTTGTTCTTTAAGCCCCCCATTCTCTTTTCATTCATTCGATAGTGAGAGATGGTATGGACATTTTTTCTTTTGTCTATAAACGACTTTTACTCCGCATTCTATCACTCGACTCACTCTTATGCCGAGGAATCCTGTACCCTTCATTCTTCAACTTCTCTGTTTTATATCTATTTTGTATTGTTCACAGTAAAAATATAAGCATGCTAGATATCACTCTAGCTGGGTGTTAAACGGGAGTCTCCATAACCATTTTCCCGAGCAGCATTAACTATTACACCCATGTCCCTGTAAGCAGTGTTGAGATATCTATGATGAGTTTTCTTCCTTATTTACGTTTCTACTTTCACTACCCATTTTCCAGCCTTTCTCTTCTTCGCATCGTTGTTTATCTTTGCATTTACAAGTATTTTCTTTTGGTCACGGTTTCCAGGACCCTCCAAGCGTTGAATGTACGACTATCTCCCTCAATAAGGTCGTGATTTTGGCGTCATCCCGTGCCCTGATTTTTTTTTTACGGGATTAGCCCACTAGGGTCAATGACCCACATCAGAGCCTGGGGGCGAAAATATAATAATAATAATAATAATAATAATAATAATAATAATAATAATAATAATAATAATAATAATAATAATAATAATAATAATAATAATAATAAAAATAATAATTTCAATAATAATAATAATATAATAATAATAATAATAATAATAATAATAATAATAATAATAATAATAATAATAATAATAATAATAATAATAATAATAATAATAATAATAATAATAATAATAATAATAATAATAATAATAATAATAATAATAATAATAATAATAATAATAATAATAATAATAATAATAATAATAATAATAATAATAATAATAATAATAATAATAATAATAATAATAATAATAATAATAATAATAATAATAATAATAATAATAATAATAATAATAATAATAATAATAATAATAATAATAATAATAATAATAATAATAATAATAATAATAATAATAATAATAATAATAATAATAATAATAATAATAATAATAATAATAATAATAATAATAATAATAATAATAATAATAATAATAATAATAATAATAATAATAATAATAATAATAATAATAATAATAATAATAATAATAATAATAATAATAATAATAATAATAATAATAATAATAATAATAATAACAATAATAATAATAATAATAATAATAATAATAATAATAATAATAATAAATAATAATAATAATAATAATAATAATAATAATAATAATAATAATAATAATAATAATAATAATAATAATAATAATAATAATAATAATAATAATAATAATAATAATAATAATAATAATAATAATAATAATAATAATAATAATAATAATAATAATAATAATAATAATAATAATAATAATAATAATAATAATAATAATAATAATAATAATAATAATAATAATAATAATAATAATAATAATAATAATAATAATAATAATAATAATAATAATAATAATAATAATAATAATAATAATAATAATAATAATAATAATAATAATAATAATAATAATAATAATAATAATAATAATAATAATAATAATAATAATAATAATAATAATTAATAATAATAATAATAATAATAATAATAATAATAATAATAATAATAATAATAATAATAATAATAATAATAATAATAATAATAATAATAATAATAATAATAATAATAATAATAATAATTAATAATAATAATAATAATAATAATATAATAATAATAATAATAATAATAATAATAATAATAATAATAATAATAATAATAATAATAATAATAATAATAAAAATAATAATTTCAATAATAATAATAATATAATAATAATAATAATAATAATAATAATAATAATAATAATAATAATAATAATAATAATAATAATTTTAATTATAATACTAATAATTATGGACCATAAATAATATTAAAAAGAAAGGATCCCTAGTGAGAAACGATGTGTATGTTGTGTTGTCAAAGTAAGGGAAACAATTGAAATCCTGCAATTGTGTGTAAATCAGGCAGGAAGTCAGATCAAGCAATCTGGGAATTGGTCACAATTTCTGTGATTCCTTGTGGAAGCAGGATCTACCATTAGACAACACATTATGCTTCCAATATATTTAAACAAAATATATTCAATGAGTATTCTTGCGTCAATTTGTTAATGTTGATAACTTTTATCACCAGAGTGGCATTCCTGACCCTACCAAGAGCGTTATTGACATCTCTCCCGCCGGGGAAGACGGGGAATCGTCGGCGGAGAACCCGCTATTAAGGGGCATCCTGCCTGAAAACTTGAAGCCTCCCGCAGGTGAAGTGGACCATGACTCAACGATCAACGAGGACAAACCAGACGACGGCCACGACCACTCCAACCATCACAACCACCTCGACCACCACGTCCAGCCTCACCCAGAAGACGGTGACAACAACAAACAAAAGGGGTTTGTCTTCGGTATCACTGTTACTGATCTCTACAGATCAGCATAAAGTTTGGACACGTAGAGAGGCCCCGAGGCCAGTGTACAACCCAGGAGACGAAAAAAACAAAGGCAAACTTGACATATAAAAAACTAAATACAATCACAGAGAAATACTTTGAAAGATTGGAATAGGAGGATGAGGTGAAAGCTTGTCCCGTGTGTTGAGTGTGTAAACCTCTATATGCTGAGGAGTGTGTGGGCTGGAGCGGTATGTGGGGAGTGAGGCAGGTTGGCGTTAATTTGTGGAGTGAGGGTGTGGTCAGGGACGGGGGGCCTAAGACAAGTGAGGATATCCACTTCTAAATTCCTGTGACTGCTCATAAATAGATGATTCACAGAAGTTCCAGGTCGTCTTCTTTTCCCCCTGTATTACAGGACACTAGCTCGACTCTACTGTAGAGCTGGGAGAGGGAGGAAAGCTGATTCGACTTTTGAACGTGACTGTGCAGTACATGTACAGTATAGTACTGTACATAGTCTATTAAGCTAAACTCTCTCTCCAGATCACACACATCTGGCTGGACAGTTTAAAATAGAAGGCAAACATCAGGACAGGTTCTGGTTAATTTGACATCAAATGTAATTTGCTTGCAAAATATTCGCAAAATTCAAATTCATATTTTTGGAACTCAATTTTGCACATACAGTATATATATATATATATATATATATATATATATATATATATATATATATATATATATATATATATATATATATATATATATATATATATATATATATATAGATAGATAGATAGATAGATAAAATCACACAGCATTTTCTTATACAATACAGTATGTAATATAATTTTGTCAAGAGAGTGGCGAATATTTAGAATACCAAGTAATATTATATACAAAACATTAAGACAAAAGAGAAACAATTGAATCAACATTATGCGACGATGCTGAAAACAAAAACTATAATAATATATACGTAGTCTTGGGGGTGGGTGTTAACGTTACCGTATTACTGCGCCTCAACAACTTGGGTCTTTCAGGTGATAACGAGGTTAATAAATTAATTAGTACATCAACAATTAGAAATTATAAGATATGTAACTCTGTTAGGCGTTAGGTATAACATTAGGGTGAATTTAGTTACCTGCCGGAAATTTTTTTTTTTATTTATTTATTTTTTTCCCAGACTTGAGGGAGGTGACTTGGAGGACCCGGTCCCCTACAACCCTCACAACGATGACGACGAGGACAGTGACAGGGAGGGTTCCGGGGACTGCCCTGTCTATTCCCGCCCAGCCTGCCCCAGAGGAATTAGCATATGTGAAAGCAATGACGCGTGTCCCATTCCTATATGCTGTAAGCCCGACAACAACTAACACATCATCACCTACACCAGCTATATCGTGTTGGTAGTTAGTTGTGCGTCGCTTACAGGAGAGTGGTCCTATTAGACACTGCTCCTCTACCCATTATCTAGTCTAATTTGAAAACACAATTCACAGTACAGTATATGAATGAGTGCTCTTTTTGTGGTTCAGTGAAGGACTGTATTATACCGTATATATATGCATTCAACATGATTATAAAAGGTACATTTTATCATTCGTATATTATTAAGACCAATTTTTTATGTTATAATGTTATTACTGCGCTTCAATAATTATGAGAGATAGTGAGAGATAGAACTCTTTTAGACCAGGTAGTGTGTGTTAGTCAGCGCAGTAGCTCCAAGACCGTGAAACCTTGAGACTTCAAACTTTGTGAGCATACTAAGAGAGCCCTGGGGGTGTGCACCTTGGTGTTACTTTTAAAATTTGGCTAAAAACAAATTTGTTCTTACAGTATGAAAACATTTCTCACTGTCAAAACCCCCTGCAGACGTTGATGACTACATATATATATATATATATATATATATATATATATATATATATATATATATATATATATATATATAAATATATATATATATTTATCTCATGTAGATCCACAATAAAAACGTGGATAAGATAAATCTTGATAAAATCACACGGGAAAAGGGAAACAATGGAGCTCCGGTGCTCCGTTGTTTCCCTTTTCCCGTGTGATTTTATCAAGATATATATTTATATATATATACACAGTATTAGCTTCCATTAAGCTTTGTTCAGTGTACAAATTATTAAGCCCATCATACTGCTGAATGCAAAATGGTACTTAAGTAAACTAACAAATATAAGATATTTAAGTTAATCATATCTCTTTTGGCCGGTGTTGGATTAACCTCTGTGCAACTAGCAAATGCTATGGTTCCTGTGCTTAAGGGAAACCCGTAACCATAAGAAAATAAATTTGCGCATTTCAATACGACTGTTAGAAACAAATCTAGTCTCATATGGCAACATAAACCGAGGAATATGTGTTCAAACAGCGCGCCAAATCTACCATTCTCAGCTGTGAATTCCAGTCGTGTGCAACTGAATGCAACCCTGATATCGCATTGGTTGGGATGTCCTGCATAACAGGAATAACATTCAATAAAAATGGGGGTTTTATTAGTTAGGTAGATGTAAAACATTTTATGTTGTGCTTCTGATTTGAAAAGAGTAGGCGTTGTCTTTGAATTTTTTTTTTCATGTTATCGACCATGTACAGTTGCGGACAAAATTCCCTGAACTTCTGGGTCGTATATATAATAAGTTTATATCTAATAACGCTGCTTTTCATCATATATTATGGCGGAACCACAAAAGGGAAAAAAAATCCTTCACACAGAAAATTCCAATCCCTTTCTCCTAATGATCCTCAGGTACCTACAGTATATGCCAGACACTGCCAAGTGTCCAGGGAATTTTGCCCGCAGCTGTACGAGTGTTAATCCTTTATTTCACGTAGAAAACACCAAGAACAGTGGCCTGTATAGTGTGATGGGCAGGCTTGAAATGTTTAGTTTTTTCTCTCTATCAAATGTTGCTGTAATTACAATACTTTTCTTATCTGCCTCGAGAATACCATCCGGTGGTGAAATGGAGCATAGGAAAATATTCTGACTCCGTTATTCGAATTTGGGGGTTGTCAGTCACGCGAATTCGTTCAGTTTCATTTTTGGTGTCATTCTTGGTCAGAAGATCCTTCGGCATGCTGATAATCTGAGTAGTACACTTCATAAGAAAGGTCTGTCAGCAAAGTTGGATTTATCCTTTGGTTCATCACCTTATCACCATGACAAGTGTAATTTAAACGATCACTTCAGAAAAAATGTACTTCGATGCATTAGATCTAGTGTGTGGAACAATTAAGGACTCATAAGATCAAGTTGATTTTAAAACTTACATGGAAATTAAAAAAAAATGCTTTTAGATTCTGTTAACTCTGACATCATTTGCCATTGTATTGCTTTTCTTTAAGTCTGTAGCAGTGACTTCCAGGAAGAAACCCCCAAGGCACACCTGAAGATGCTATACAGCAATCACAATGAACCGACACCAGCAGACCTTTCAGATGTGGTAGCATATGTGAGGGGCTTTCTCCAGCCTCATAAGAGTAAATGAAGGAAACTATGCGTTTTGTAAGACTCGTCATGCCTGCTACAGATGCTACGAGTGAATGTGTTTTTATTGCACCGAAGCATCTGAAGCAACAGCGTCTGAATCATACTATGGTTACCTATATTTATAGAGCAAAATGTTTATGCGATTTCTGGGCTCATAATGCACCATATAATTATGTTAAGTAACATATAACGAACTTCAACCGTTCTTTGTATTTCAGCTTGTAATGTCATTGCAGGATCGGTATTAGATTTGTTTCGAACTGTTATTAGAAGAATTAGAAGAATTGTGTTACTTGTGTTATTATTTGTATTGTTTTAAAAGACTAAAGTGTTATTTCTGATACTTTTCCTGTAATAAACAAAAGCTTGGTATGTGTTTTCCTTACTCATAATGAAATTCGTATATATATATATATATATATATATATATATATATATATATATATATATATATATATATATATATATATATATATATATATATATATATATATATATATATATATATATATATATACATATATATATATATATATATATATATATATATATATATATATATATATATATATATATATATATATATATATATATATATATATATATATATATATATATATATATATATATATATATATATTATAGTAAGATTGTGAAACCAGTAACTTCGTAAAATCCTTGGAAATTTCAGTACAGATACAGTACATGTAATTTCATGTAATTACGGTTTCAAACAGGGACCTCACGAAATTGCTGAAATTTTGTAATAATTTTTAGACGTTCTTATTCAGGCTTTAAACAATTTGTCGAGACTACCATATCATTTATGCCTTGTTTCCTAATGGACGTATACTTTACGTGAAACACCAAGTTGTTGACGTAAGTGTGACTTATCTCCACCTAGTAAGTTTACCTACAGCCTGTATAACACATTAGTACAACACTGAAGTGAACCACAAGAGTAGAAGGATAATGTTATACAGTTTGTTTATTACGTTGTTTTGGTGGTGATTTGTGTTGGTAGGTCTGCCTGCGGACGTCTTCGAAGGCAATGATTTGAAGAAAAAAATTAACTTGTATCATGTTACCGATATATGACTATTAAATATAGTTGTGTTTTACCTCATTATAAGTTTTGTTTTTGTTTTATTCAGTTAATAAACTGAGTTAAACAAAATAAGAAAAAAATATAAGTTTCTTCACAGTTGACTGACACTGAGACACTGATGAGGACAAAGGCTGGAAGTGTTGTTTCAGTGGTTCATGACATCGGTGATATGTTTGTTACAATGAACTCATTCATCGGGGAAAATAGTCTTTATAATTGAAAAGTTAAAGATTTATGTGCATAGAATAATTTTAGTTGAAATTAAAGAAAAATAATTGCATGGTTTCTAGGTCATATATTTGGTAAATTCAGGGAGAGAGATCTGAGAGAAACAATCGAAGTCTCTTACAGTAATGAGACAGGTCCATTCGTCCCATGAAGTTCCGAAACCTGCTTTGAAATAACCGCTATGGCCAGTCTTGTTGCCGGTGTTGTGCTAAGAAGTGCCAAAGTGTTATAAAGGAAAGATAAAGTGTCATCTTTGGTGAGGGAATGAACAATCAAGAGGTAAGTGGTGGTCACACGAGTTGTATGGAGGACTTCACAGCCAACGAGTTATTTGTTTTGATGTTTATATTCATACTAGATTTTCATCAGTGAGTTGTGATATAATATTGTCAGGGAAATTGCTTCGTTTGGTAGATAATTAGGCGACTAGGTGTGCACTACTTTGTCTGACACACACACTACTTCGTCTTTCTCCGATCGGGTCGATGGACTCGTCGCCAGTATATGTTAATAAGCCAAACGGAACGGGCAGCTGCTCTCACAGCCACAAAATACGTCAAATTACATCATATATTAAGTTCTTTCTGTTTAATATGCCGGGGTGACGGCAGGGTTGAGCCTCACGGCTAGGAAGTTAGGTAAAGTTAGGTAGGTTTCTATGGTTGGTTGGTTATATGTCTGATATTTTCTCATAAATTGGGATTTCCAAAGAAAATGAAGTCAGATTTAAATAAAGTACACCGAAATATACCAGAAAAATACATTTCCCTATAAAAACAAAGGGGACTTTAAAACGAATCTTTACTCTTATTAGACTTATCAAACTTGATTTTGAAGTCAATAAAATGTTGAAATATTCTGAGATTGTCATGGTGGGAACTCAGAAATTAAGAAATTTGAAAAATGTAAAGGTTATCTAGAATATTTTTGCACGCATCTACCACAACTCAAGAGAAGCACATCTCCAGAATTCAAAACTTGTGGTGGATGGGGGGCATAAAACCCGAGTCGATTATGTTATAGTAGGTAGAGCGGCAATGGTAATGACGATATAACCCACTCGATGGTGTGCCGGCTGAGGACGTAACTTACATAAGGCTCTTATAAGTATAATTTTTTGAGTGTTCCAGCATGAATACCCCACCATAATGCTTGGCCGAGCGTCAATAGTATTAGCTGAAATTTCTTGATGGCATACTACTGTATATATATATATATATATATATATATATATATATATATATATATATATATATATATATATATATATATATATATATATATATATATATATATATATATATATATATATATATATATATATATATATATATATATATATATATATATATATATATATATATATCTTGATAAAATCACATGGAAAATGGAAACAACGGTGCTCCGTTGTTTCCATTTTCCGTGATATCAAGATCTTATCCACGTTTTCATTGTGGATTTACATGATATATATATATATATATATATATATGCTTCATAGGCAGCTTTCCTTTAAATTAGGATTCTCATTTCCACCCCACCTCACACATTACACACCACCACCACACTACCACATCATGACACTGCCACACCACGACACTCGCACACCACTCACTACTACACCATCACACTGCCATACCACCTCGCACACCACTCACCACCACACTATCACACCACCACACCCCACCACTATACTGCCCCACCACCTCACACATCACTCACAATTATCACCACACTATCACACTACAACACCATTACACTACCACAATGCCACACCACAACACTACCAAAGGTGGTATACACATTTTGCACCTAGATTAATTTAAAATATCTTACTACCACACCACAGCAGCACCACACAAAACACACCAGTACATTGCTATACCACACAACCATGCCGCCACACTGCTACACCACCACTTACAACATTACTCACCACACCACATCACATCAACACCATTCTACCACACCACCACACTGCTACACCACCACTTACATTTACTCTCTGACGCACTACCACACCACAGCACCACCACACTACCACACTGCTATACCACCTCACACATCACTTACCACAACTTTCACAACTGAACGTGTCATCTGACTTTCTCACGAAGAAAAACTTTGTATTACCAGTTTGTATTATACACCTAAGCACGTACAGATTGTATCGACCGATATTGTATAAATGGAGTGAATTAAACCTGATTCATTTTAGGTTTATTCGGTTTCTTTTCATAATGTGTTTTATTTGTTGAATATTTTCCTAGTTTGGGTTGTTGTTGTTGTTGTTGTGGACGGTGAGCACGCCAGTAGGACACATCTGTTACACCCTAACAGTTGGTGACTGGCAATGTGTGTGAAGGGAGAGTGTGTGTCTCCAGCTATCCTCTATTTTAGCAGGTATACAGTATGTTTAACAGTGGAACAAAAGCTATAATCATCATTATTAGTTTCATTTTATTAATGCAGCAGAATTTTGCTGCAATTCCTTACACAAATACTTCTAGTTTTTGAGAGATTTTCGTGCATGTTTTGCATTCTTCACACACGCGTTTGTCGGAGAATTAACTCGGAGTGAAAGTCACCGCGAAGTGCGTCTTACTCACGAAAGTCCAACGACCTTTTCCTTGTGTATCAAGTCCAGTCACCTACACCGCCAACAATGTCACAAGGGTCGTGCACTTTTCTCCTAGGTGTTACTTTTACCTGCTTGACCCACCATATTTTTGTAACCTGTAGAGGTCTTCCAGTCAACCGCCATAATGCTGGTCAGCGGGACACAATCTTTGTATAAGTCAATCTTCAAGATGTCAGCATCGCTCAACAACAACGTCATGTTGTCTGCAACAGTGTATTAAGATATTAAACCCCACAGGTACTCACGGTACGTAGTGTGCCGCAGGTTGTGTGTACACCCTGGAGAACTGCCAGCAGGATCATCTAACTGCTGCAGCATCTTGATATTTATAATTGTTTCACAGATTACACCGCTCTTCTCTGGGGTCACCAGAGCCGTAACAAATGCCTTGATGTCTACAACTATTTTACTGCCAGTTTGTTCACTGGTGGTGTTTGAGGTTGCCTAAGATAGTTTAAACATTTCTACTTTTCTCTTTCTTGCAAACGTGATTAATTACAGTTTTATATATTAATAACGATAAAAAAATGCAACTAAAAATTCTTGCCACAACCTTTATTCTCACCTCGTGTCCGTAAAACTTTGTTCAATACAACTCTTTACCTAAATGATAACTGAAAATTATTAATCATAGAACGATTACTGTATTCTTATGATCATGGACTAAGAGTGTTAATAGATCAACATGAACACATAAGTAAGTTATTTCCCTCCCTTGAATCTGCCAGCAGTGTTCATGCCGCCGACCAGTCACAGGGTTTCCCATACCAGAATGACAGCTGGACAAAATGTGACCATATGTGAAGTTTTTACTGAGAGCAACATTGATTCATGTGGAGAGAACAACTTTTTAGTAAAAGTTTCTTTCAGTTACAGAAGTGGTACGGGCGACTCTCAGAACCTAGCCAGCGGGCGTCAGTTCCGCGAAGAATTATCCGGATGTCGCCTTTTGGCTCGAACTCAGGCCTGTGATGTTTCTTATTTCTGAAGACCAGACTACTACTTCATCAATGAGGCCACCTGCTACTGCCACATTATAGCCTTATAAAGGTTGGTGCCTTGGACATGAGCTTCTCAGGAAGGAAATTTAAGATCTGCTTCTTTTTTTAGGCCATAATAACAATGGTAGTCATAATAACTGAAAATACGAGTGATAATGTCGTTATACATGTTTACAATTGGTTTGGTATGTACAGTATATAGACTATGAAGGCATACAATTCAGCATGTGTACAGTATAGGCAATGCAGGTATACGGTGTACATTCACCGATGGAATTGAATTTGGATTTTGCCGCAGACAACGGCTAGTTTATTGTGCACCCCATAATCATCCTGTGAGCGCGGTATCGCAAAAAAGGATTTCAGAGCAAAGTCACAAAAGTGTGTTTAACAGACCTCAGTGGTCAGGAACTTGTGGTTTTGAATGTTACAAAGTATTTCCAATACACTGTGTTGTTCTGTACATAGATGTTGACTTATTCACATCTTCGTGAGTACAGCAATGTGAGGCAATATGCCTGACCACACACTTAGTTATTCGCATTTGCGTGAGGGGCATTGACTTATTCTATTCGGTGCTAAAAGGGGATAAAATTTTAATATATCAGCTATCTTACCATTAGATAAAGTGTTGTCCCATTTCATACAAAGAATGTAAGGACCTGTCCCTAAAAGGTTCTATCTTCTCACAGTACAGGACGTAGTGTTGGAGTGTGTGGCCATATGTCTGGCTGCATACTTTACATTTAGTTTTGTTCACATCTGCTTGGGGGATATACTGCCAGAGGTACTTATATCCTAACCTTAGTCCAGTGGTTTCAATGTCTTGTAATCAAGTGATCTTGTTAGTTTCTGCATACATGTTAATACATCTCATCATGATAGACAATAGATTGACTATTTCTTGTTTACAATTTTTTTTATACGGACATTAGTCGTCTGTTTGCTTCAAATTCACAAGTAAGTTCTTTCTTAATTATATAGTTTTAAGGGTTCCTTTTAACACTTTTAGATTGTATTCAACATTGTCTTATTAGACGCGAGTTTGACTTAGGCATCAACTATGTCATGTTCACTGAGGCCTATGTGAGAGAGGTTCCACAGCAGTTTGATCTTGCCATCTCCGTCAACAAGTGCGAATTACAATTTCATAAGTATCTAGACAGTCCAGGTAAACAATATTGGGAAACAGTCAATTTGACCAAGGAGAGCCGACATAGCCATCAGTCATATTTCCAGGAAGTTCCTTTGCTTAAGCCTAGGTTTGGTCTGTAATCAGTGATGGTTTATCTACAAGAGTAAAAGGGATTTTTTTTAAATAAATATAACAAGCATTGCATTACGCTTGAACTATCCGAAGCTGGCGGATCACTTTAACAAAACAACAATATGTGGTTAATAATATAGAAACTCACTCTCTTGTCTTGTTGTAGCTTCATCTGTAATGTTTTGTTTAGTTTTGGCTTTGAATAGTTTGATACCATTATTGGTTTTAATATGGTCTGGTAACTTGTTCCGGTCCGGTATAGCTGTGAAGAAGAAGAAGGAGGAGAAGAAGGAGATTTTCACTTGATCGCGAACACCAGTTACCAAAAAAATGTGTTCACAAGCAAAGAGCAATGGTTCTAGGCTATAAATGAATTTTCCCATTTGTCTACCATCCACAATTTCGGGTGTCTAACTGGTCTACTTCGGCTCCTCTTCATTGAATTATTTCCTGCTGATTCTTCGAGGGAGTGCTCTTATATCTGCCAAACACTACATCAACCCTTATTGAGTTATAGGACCTAGATAGCCAAACCTGTCGGCAAGGTTTCCAAATGTTGTATACACCCTTGTGGTTCACCCATAACTCTTGACCAAGGGCTCGTCCATCAACCATTGTGCGTGTGGATAGTGCAGCTTGGCAGGATAACTTCATATACATTTTCTTCGGACACCTATAAATCTTCTCTTCATAGAAAACGTATGATATCATGAATTTAGCCATCAAACTTAAGGAGCAGCTTAAAAAACCCTCAAACATTGTCCGAAGTCACCGCACACCTCCGAAGCTGACCTAAAGGATCTGTCGGAGAGAAAGGAATTGATGAGAGTTCATGTTTAAGCAATGCGTTGAGGTTGATTTTGGGCCTGCATCTTTGGCAATAAGCATCCCTTGGAAACGATTACGGCCTGTCTTTGTAAGCTTGAGTTTGTTAGATACTAGTTATACAGATTTTATATTCTGCAAGATGAATGTTTCCACCTTGTGAATCATGGAGAGTTACAGCAATTTTTTACTTAGTCTCTTATAAACAAATGAGATCAATTTATTCTCACTTTTTTTTCTGGGCAATTATTAAAGAATCTATTATATGTGTCATTGCCACATCATAAGTTTAAAGACACACCTTGTTGTTCATGTGAGAAGACACCAAACTATATCTTGAGGTATAGTAATATATACAGTATATATTAACATAAAAATACTAATACAGCCCCTGTACATGAAAGTCACAGCTAGAAATTATTGTTTCATCCACATTGTTCTGTGAATTTTGCTTGTTAAGATGCTGATTATAATCTGTATTTCTCAGTGTATAGGGCACAATAATTGGTAATTTCTGCTGTGACATCTTCCTCATTTACATTTTCCTGTTAAGAGGTAAAATGGGAAGATCGAAAACGCCAACTAACATAAATGGTCATCTTAAAGTCCATAGAAGTTATTTATTACCTCCATACTGAAGACTGACATTCTTGTACACCTCCCGCATCAATCTTCAGCAGCAATATATTTCTCAAAGAAATATCTGGGAGAGAAAAAATGTTGATTAAGTTACTCATTATAAAAGATTTCTGGACACGTCTAAGTTTCTACAAGGGGGAACTGTGGAAGATAAACTCAATACTTTCTTTGATATTAAGGTGTGTGTGTGTGTGTGTGTGTGTGTGTGTGTGTGTGTGTGTGTGTGTGTGTGTGTGTGTGTGTGTGTGTGTGTGTGTGTGTGTGTGTGTGTGTGTGTGTGTGTGTGTGTGTGTGTGTGTGTGTGTGTGTGTGTGTGTGTGTGTGTGTGTGTGTGTGTGTGTGTGTGTGTGTGTGTGTGTGTGTGTGTGTGTGTGTGTGTGTGTGTGTGTGTGTGTGTGTGTGTGTGTGTGTGTGTGTGTGTGTGTGTGTGTGTGTGTGTGTGTGTGTGTGTGTGTGTGTGTGTGTGTGTGTGTGTGTGTGTGTGTGTGTGTGTGTGTGTGTGTGTGTGTGTGTGTGTGTGTGTGTGTGTGTGTGTGTGTGTGTGTGTGTGTGTGTGTGTGTGTGTGTGTGTGTGTGTGTGTGTGTGTGTGTGTGTGTGTGTGTGTGTGTGTGTGTGTGTGTGTGTGTGTGTGTGTGTGTGTGTGTGTGTGTGTGTGTGTGTGTGTGTGTGTGTGTGTGTGTGTGTGTGTGTGTGTGTGTGTGTGTGTGTGTGTGTGTGTGTGTGTGTGTGTGTGTGTGTGTGTGTGTGTGTGTGTGTGTGTGTGTGTGTGTGTGTGTGTGTGTGTGTGTGTGTGTGTGTGTGTGTGTGTGTGTGTGTGTGTGTGTGTGTGTGTGTGTGTGTGTGTGTGTGTGTGTGTGTGTGTGTGTGTGTGTGTGTGTGTGTGTGTGTGTGTGTGTGTGTGTGTGTGTGTGTGTGTGTGTGTGTGTGTGTGTGTGTGTGTGTGTGTGTGTGTGTGTGTGTGTGTGTGTGTGTGTGTGTGTGTGTGTGTGTGTGTGTGTGTGTGTGTGTGTGTGTGTGTGTGTGTGTGTGTGTGTGTGTGTGTGTGTGTAACCTTTACCTGATTAGGTGTAAGTGTAGCAGTATGTGGGGGGGGGGGTATGATGGCGAGGGTTAATGACACACACACACACACATACACACACATTACATGGCCAAGCATTATGTCCCCTCACCACAACATGCGACTGTACCACCACCACCACCAGTACCTTCACAGTTCAGTAGGTGAGTCGTCACATCTGAGCGTTACTTACACCTGTAATTAAGGTGGATTGAAGGTGAATAACGAAGGGCGATTTTACTCAGGCGAGGAGTGAATGAGTTAGTCAGAGGTAGGTATCAGGGTGGGCCAGTGGGTCAGAGGTGGGTACCGGGCTTGGCTAGTGAGTCAGAGGTGGGTACCGGGAGAGGGGCAGTGGGTCAGTTAGTGGGATACCGAGTTAGAGGTGGGTAGCGGGGTGGCCCATGGGTCAGAGTTGGGTACCGGGGTGGGCTAGTGGGTCAGAAGTAGGTACCGGGGTGGACTAGTGGGTCAGAGGTAGGTAGCGGGGTGGCCCATGGGTCAGAGTTGGGTATCAGAGTGGGGTAGTGAGTCAGGTGGGTGCTGAGGTGAGTTATTGCGAGCTGAAGGTGGGGTAGTGGATGCCAGGGTGGCCTAGTGGGTGCCAGAGGTGGGCTAGTGGATGCGAGGGGTGGGCGAGTGGGTGCCAGGGGTGGGTTAGTGAGGCAGAACTTGGTGCCGGGGTTGGCCGGATGGTAACGGGGGTGTGCTAGTGATTCATAGGTGGGTTCTGGAGTGGGGCTGGTGGGTTCCGGGTTTGTCTAGTGAAGCAGAGGTGGGTTGCTGGGTGACAGGGATGGGTTGCTGGGTGCCGGAGGTGGGCTGGTGGGTGGCGGAGGTGGGCTAGATGCTAAAACGTGTCGTGTCGCTTTACCCACCTGACCTCCTTTGCATCTGGGCCCAGCGTTGCCACATCTAGCGCCCGCCTCTCTGTTTCCTCTGTACTAGTGAACGCCCCCTAGCTCATGACTCCTCCTCGCTGCACCGTGCTGTTGACCTGCTGTGTTGTGTCGCTGCTGTTCTGTTACTGTACCGTGCTGTTGACCTGCTATTGTTAATGTACCATGCTGTTGACCTGCTGTTCTCTTACTGTACCGTGCTGTTGACCTGCTGTGCTGTGTATACAATAGCTGCTGCTCTCTTACTGTACCGTGCTGTTGACCTGCTGTGCTGTGTATAGCTGCTGCTCTCTTACTGTACCGTGCTGTTGATTTGCTGTGTTGTGTATTTAGCTGATAACCTCGCGATGAATGTTATTTCTAGGTTATTGTGTTGAGTTAGCTGAATATCGCCCATGGAAGGTTATTTTTAGTCTGTTCTACCGAGTATCTTTAACTGTCGGCATTTTCTTAACGCTACCTTGGGACTAAAATGTTATTGGAACATAATAAGCTGAGTTGCACCGTTACATCAATATGTCTTGTTTTAAAGGTCACCCACGTTTGGCCAGTGTTCATGTATAGGTACCGGTAATATTGATAGATATGTGAAAACTTAAAAATAATAAAGTTATATCATAATTTTGGCGTAAGACTTGTTTTTAAAAGGAACATTTCAAGAAATCCCCCTAAATGGGCTTCAGGCGATGGGCTGAGCCACAACTTTATAGGCAGTACTGGAGAGTGATGTCACGCCTGCCCCCCTCCCCCTTCTTCCCGCCTTAACGCACGGACATAAGATGTGACAGACTGAGCAAGAACACTAAGAAGCCAATAGTATTGAGGAGTTAACAACATGAAAAGTTTCTGATGGAGCCATTCTATACTACCATGCGATACAGTATATACACAGTCACACACACGTGCCTACCATGATATACACACAGTCACACACATGTACGTACCTACCATGATATACACACAGTCACAACACATGTACCTACCATGATATACACACAGTCACAACACATGTACCTACCATGATATACACACAGTCACACACACACGTGCCTACCATGATATGCCTACCATGATACACTAATAACACTTCATTATCGTGACCGCTGAAACCAATATCACCATTAGCACCGCCATCATCTCCATTACCAAACCACTATCACGATCATCACCACTACCGTCTCCACAATTCTCACCTCTACTGCCATCATCATCATCATGACAACAAGTACCACTATCACCACCACGTATGCTACTATCACCATCACAACCACTACTATCATCAATCACCACAACTAACTCCATCACCACCACAACTACCAACATCACCATCACTACTCCTATCATCACCTCCACAAACACCACCATCGCTACCACAACTACCACCATCACAATTACCATCACCTTCATTACTATCATTATAACTACCACCGTCGTTACCACAACTACCACTATTACTGCCACAAATACCAGGCCTGTCTCC